AAAGGGAACAAAATGGGCTAGTGCTGTAATTCATCAATTATGGCTCTCTGGATTGCAAAATGGTGTCTAACATGCCAGGAGATGATAACACAATAGGGTGTCTGGGAGTGGCAGAAAAATACAGCACAATAAGAGACTTACATCAGAACAATAAACACACTGTATGCACTATATTTACTGTTGTGTGAAAGTTGTATATTATAAACATTTACATTATACACATGGCCAAATGAGTTTCCAAAGAGTCCAGCATGGGAATGGTTGTACCATATTTTATTATCATCCCTTGTTCAAAATTCTGCTTGTCACTAGTGAAAGATAATTTTGCATATTTTGTTTGTCAAAATAACACAATGTAATCACACCAGTTTCAATTATGTTGGTAATTTATTAAAAAAAAACTTGTCAACAAGATGTCTAAGGCACTTAAGATTCAATAAATGCTTTTTAGACAAATAGATTCCCTAATAGGCATATTAATACAGAACTTTGAGTAATAATTCCTTTAAACTACAATACAGAAATGAATTTCCTGTACCAATCAGAAGCAATTCAAAGGCTTTGAGGAGCTGGGTAAACGGAGGAGCTGAGGGAGAGGGAAGTAATTGCTGGGAAGGAGCCTGGAGTGAACCTGGAGGGTTGTTGGGTGTGGGTGGGAGAAGTATGGAAATTCTTTTGTGGGGGAAGGATTGTTAGGGAGTTGAGGAACCTCTCCCTGCAGACCCGGATGACCCCTGCCCTTCCCATTCAGTCAGGAACATTTTTCCCTCTCCCCATGTGCCCTTGCACCCCCACTTCCATTCAACATCCACCTCGGTCTGTCCCCCCAATAGCCATTCACAACCCCAGTGTGACGTTGCACCCCGTAATGCTTTATAGAAATATGCTTATGAGTGTAAATATGACGTAACTGGAATATGTTTTATGCGAGATATGCCATGCAACATATCTCTGCAAAGGTTATGATCTACTGGATATATTCATCCTATTTGCATGTATGTATCATTTTTGTATTTGAAGTTATGAATATTGACTATGTACTTGTTTGATTTTAAGTAGCCTCAGTGAAGCAGTTGGTCAGCTTCTTGAGAAAAGACTATTCTCAGTAAGTGCCCAATCAAGAAACACTTAAGCTAACAATTAACTTTAAGAAACACCAATCCACATCTGAGCTTTCCAGGGAATGTGGTGTCGTCCTGTAAGAAACTGAATCATGCATGGACATGTGACTTGCCCATGTGACTCCAAAACTCCATCTTGGACCTGGATTCTGCATAGGAGAGGGAAAGGGGTTTCCACCCACAAGAGAGAGACTATTTGAGCCCCTGGAGAAACCCCTCCATTTTGTCTCCAGCTGGCTCAAGAGATAGCCTCTCCACCCCAAAGGATGCCTGAAAGAAACTAGAACAAAGGACAGTAACTACAGGGGTGTGAGGGACTGCTGGACCCAGACTAGAAGGAGGCTGTCTGTCAAAGAAGCTTATTGGAACATCTCTGAGGGTGAGATTGCCTGCATTTAGTTTCCTACTGTATTAGGCTTAGACTTGTGTGTTTTATTTTATTTTGCTTGGTAATTCACTTTGTTCTGTCTGTTATTACTTGGAACCACTTAAATCCTACTTTTTATATTTAATAAAATCACTTTTACTTATTAATTAACCCAGAGTAAGTATTAATACTTGGGGGGGCAAACAGCTGTGCATATCTCTATCAGTGTTATAGAGGTTGAACAATATATGAGTTTACCTTGTACAAGCTTTATACATTGCAAATGGATTTATTTGGGGTTTGGACCCCATGGGGAGCTGGGTATTGGAGTGCTGGAGACAGGAGCACTTCTTAAGCTGTTTTCAATTAAGCCTGCAGCTTGTGCGGGATGTGGTTCAGACCTGGATCTCTGTTTGCAGCAGGCAAGCGTGTCTGGCTCAAACAAGGCAAGGTACTGAAGTCCTAAGCTGGCAGGGAAAACAGGCTCAGAGGTAGTCTAGGCACATCAGGTGTCAGTCCCAAAGGGGGTTTCTGTGATCGAACCCATCACACCCAGCATTTGTGACCTGCCCCCCCCCCCAAGCAGCCCCGTGTGCCCTGCTCTGTCTGTCCCCCACAAATCCTCACCAGGCTCCACACATAAGATGCTGTGAGGAATGCAGTCTCTCCTCCTCCCTATCCACTGCTTGCTGCTCTGGCCTGTAAGCCAGCTGCTGTCTATTCTGACACCACAGCAGCGTTTGGTGAGCAACAGGCATAATTGCAGTGCCTCTTCGGCAGAATGTATTTTCTGCAGAGAAAATTAAAATGTGGGGGACAGGAATTCTGCACAAGCGCAGTGGCACAGAATTCCCCCAGGAGTAACATTTACATGAACAGAGTTGCTTTTGCATATGCAATATACACATGCAAAACTCATCATATGTATGTGTGAAGGGTTCCCCCCACAGGAAGCCACCTGGAACTGGGCTACTACTGAGCCATCCTGGCCCACCAGCCTAGGCTTCCTTTACATCAGGGGTTCTCAAACTGGGGTCAGGGGGTCACAAGGTTATTACATGGGGGGTCGTGAGCTGTCAACCTCCACCCTAAACCCCGCTTTGCCTCCAGCATTTATAATGATGTTAAACATATTAAAAAGTGTTTTTAATTTATAAGGGGGGGTCACTATGTGAAAGGACTCACCAGTAAAAATGTTTGAGAACCACTGCTTTACACTGACCAACCTGCCAAGTCCTCTCCCAGGCATCAGCACACCTACAAGTAGGGACACACCCAGTTGCAGTATATACAGAGCTGTGATCCGCTCAGCACGGGGAGGCTACAGCTAAGGAACTGCCCAGTTACTCAAATGCACACACCCCTCTTGAGTGCAAACCCAGAATTATACCGGTCTTGCACTGCACAGTGATCTGTACAGCGTAAGCTCATGAAATTTGCCCCATCCTTCAGTGTGGAGAAGGATATGCAACCGCTCTCTGCCCCAAGTTATGACTCCCACACACTGGTTTTATACAAAGCAAAAATAAAGTTTATTAACTACAAAAGATTTTAAGTGATTATAAGGGAGAACAAACAGATCAAAGCAGATTACCTAGCAAACAAACAAAACAAGCAAACTAAGCTTAATATACTAAAGAGATTGGATATGAGTAGCAAATTCTCATCCTAAATGATTATTCAAGCAGGCTGCAGATATTCTTAAGGGGCCAGCTGCACTTGCTTATAGCTTAAAAACCCCAGGTGTTCCTTTCACAGGCTAAAAATCACTTTAGCCTGGGTCCAGCACTCCCTCCCCCCAGTTCAGTCTTTGTTCCGTAGCTCTTTCCAGGAGTCTCTTTAGGTGGCGAGTCAGTGAAGAACCACAGTGATGTCACTCCTCTGCCTTAAATAGCTTTTGCATATGGCGGGAACCCTTTGTCTCATGCCAGTCAGTGGAAAAACACCGGTATTCCAGAATGGAGTCCAGTACCAGGTGACCTGGTTAGATGCCCCTGCAGTGCCACAGCAGGCTGTTTGTAATGTCCTCAAGAAGACACCCCACCCACCCCCGTTGGGAGATAAATTTCTTCTAAGACCTATTGTTTTCTCCTCAACAGGGCCTGACAATTGCAATCAAATAATGTGATCATCTATGAAAAGTAATATTTGTGTGTTTTATTGCAAATCTTTAAAAATATTTAGTGTCTAATCCTTTCCTTTTCAGGCAGTTTAGCTGGCTCCAGAAGGACCGTCAGGCTTATGGGAATCCTCAGGTGGGGTAGATGCCCTGAAATATCATCTCTCCACCTGGCAAAGATGGTGCAGTTGGTGCAATTGCAGTTGCTGGTGCAATGATCCATGGCTTCTGGAATGGTTCCTAGGGGCATGGGCAGCTAGTGCAATTACACCAGAAGACTGGCTCAGTGCTGAGCAGTCTCAAGAGCAGGGAATTCAAAGATGGCTCAAAGCCACTTTTTCACAAACACTCTTTCCTTAATTGCACTGAGTACTCCTCTGCTGGAGACCATTATGAGAGCTTCAGTGCCTTTGACAGGCAGGACCTGCACTGCGCTTCAGAATTTGCTAATATGACAATCCATTAGGGAAGGTTAGCTTGGCATGAGAATAGCTCCCTTACTGTGTCTTCATGCACATCTTATTTTTCTCGCTGGCAGAAAATCAAGACGGGCCACAGACAGTCAAGTGGCCCCGTCTGGCTGGTGAATTTAGGATTGGGCCTCTCCAATTTTTGATTAGTCTGGAGATGTGTGCGATGGATAGGCAGGGGAGGGGTCCTAGTCTGGAAATGCATGTAATGGGGAAGGGCCCTAGTCTGGAGATGCAAGTGATGGGTGGGCAAGGTGTGTGTATGATGGGCAGGGGCAGACGAGGGGAGCCCCGGCCTGGAGCTGTGTGTGGTGGGCAAATGGGGGGGGGGGGGGTGGCCCTGGCCTGGAGCTGTGTGTGATGGGCAAATGGGGGGGGGCGGCCCTGGCCTGGAGCTGTGTGTGATGGGCAAATGGGGGGGGGGGCGGCCCTGGCCTGGAGCTGTGTGTGATGGGCAAATGGGGGGGGGCCTGGTGCTGTGTGTGATGGGCAAATGAGTGGGGGGGCCTGGCCTGGAGCTGTGTGTGATGGGCAGATGGGGGGGGGGGGTCTGGCCTGGAGCTGTGTGTGATGGGCAAATGTGGGGGGCGGCCCTGGCCTGGAGCTGTGTGTGATGGGCAAATGGCGGGGGGGCCTGGCGCTGTGTGTGATGGGCAAATGGCGGGGGGGTCTGGAGCTGTGTGTGATGGGCAAATGGGGGGAGGGGGGGCCTGGCCTGGAGCTGTGTGTGATGGGCCCTGTTCCCGGCGGGTGACGGGGACTTGGGAGGACGAAGCTGGGCTCTGTCCGGGGCGCTCGGGACCGGGCGCCGCGGTGCCAAGACCCTGCTCTCACAGTCACCAGCAGCAGCCAGGCCCGGCCGAGCGGCTGCCCGCGGGCGGAGCTGTCCCCGGCCGCCCTCCACCACTCGGCCCCGCATGGCAGCGGGCTCCGCCCCTGAGTGCCGGCGAGGGAAGGGAGCCGCGCTGCGGAAGCGGCGGGCGGCTACAGGTTGCCAAGGAAGCAGCTGCGGCTCCCGCCTCCCGCCGGGGAGAAGGAGCGCGACGGCCGTGGAGGGAGGCTGGGTAACGTCACCAGGGTCTCCGGCGGGGCAGGGCACCGGGTGGGCCTGGGCGGGGCGGGGCAGGGCAGAGCGGGGGGCGCCCCTGTCCTGCTTGGGGCGGGGCGTGGCATGGCCCGCGGCGCTGCTTGGTGGCTCAGGGTCGTGGGCGGGAGCTGGCCGGTACCGGCGGGGCAGCGCTGAGGAAAGGTGCCCGGGCACTGCCCGCGGCAAGGGGAAGCTGCTTGGGGTGCCCTGTACCGCCCGTGTAGTGCCGGCCCCTTTCCCGTCCCCTCACACTCATGGCGTCGGCTGCTGTGTCTCGGGTGGGGGATCTTGAGGCCAGGCTTTGCCCTGACGGGCCTCTCTCCCTCCTTCCCTCCCCCTTTATGTCAGTTACAGTCAGTAGCCCTTTATTTTGGGGGGCTGTTTAACTTTTCTGCAATGAATGTGTGAGTGGTCTGGGCCAAGTAAATAAGTGCTAAATAAATATCCCTTACAACCGTACTTTATTAAGTATTGACTCTGGCCAGTAATTTCACTCAGGGTCACCTGGAAGCCTCATTCTTGTGGTAGGTCTAGGTTTTGTTCATCCTGCATTTTATATTCAACTGAACTGAGGTACCAGTGATCTTTAACTACTGTGCCTTCCCTCATTAGCTTGCTTTTCTATTATTTTTATTTCGATGATGGCACTGTAGATAGATGCTTTTATATCAACTTTTAATCTTTTTGCAGAATTAGGACACAATGTTGTCGTCTATGCACATACAGAATAACGATAGTCTATCAGAGTTGTATGTTCAACAAAAGCTGTCTTTTGACATTGCTGAGGTAAGTCAAATCATACTAATTTGCAGTGCCATCAATAGGGCCGTGTGGGGCCCGGGGCAGAAGTGACAGATTTCTCTCTTCCGGGACCGACCACTTGCACCGGCCCACGGGGCCCCCCAAAATGCAGGGCCCGGAGCGGTTGCCCCGATTCGCCCTACCCAAGGGACTGCTCTGCTAATGTGTTACTGATGTATGAGCATTTCCTACAAAGGAAAGTAATGTATGCACTTTGTTACTGACTAGACCCTGGCTTCAAATCAAACTTTAAATTTTGTGTCCTATCTGTAGGCAGTAGGAAGAAGGGATGCATTTGGGGTTTGATTTTCAAAAGGGTATGAGGGAGTTTTGTGCCCAATTCCCCTTGAAAAAAAAAAATCAATCGGAGCCAGGTATTTAACTCCCCTAGGCACTTTTGAAGAGTCTACTCTTGCTGTTTAGGAATGGAGTGCAATGCTAATAAAGGACATATATAGGATAATTCTTTAAGTGAGTTAGGGCAAATCTACATTACAGCGCTACATTGGCGCAGCTGCACCACTGTAGCACAGCTAGTGAAGAGACACTATGCCGGTGGGAGTGCGCTCTCCTGTTGGCATAATTACTCCACCTCTGCAAGAAGCGGAAGCTATGTTGGTGGGAAGGTGTCGCCTCCTGACATAGCACCAGTGTGAACAGCACAAAACTTGCATCTCTCAGAGGCTGCTTTTTCACATTCCTGAGCGACGTAACTTAGACGGATTTAAGCAGTAGCGTAGACCTGCTCTTAAACTAGTGTTTGTTGAAGCTGTTTGGTCACATCTCAAGCCACTGGGAAATAAATTCAGAGGGGAATAAAAGAAAAATGGGGTTAGAATAAAGGATATTATGCGGAAGACTTCTGCGTTGGTTTATGAAAGTGTATGAATATGCTACACATTTACTAAGAGAAGCTATGTTCTTAAAAGAAGATTCACGCAAGTTTGACACAAGGTAGGAGAGATCCTATATCCTAATTGAAGACTACCTCTAAAAATTACATATTGAAAAAAATGGATAAATTCTAGTTTGTGCTTCTCTGGCTCTGGATGAACTAGGATAAATTAAATGCTATGCTAAGCCTCCCAAGATGCTGCATAGAAGGAATTTGACTAATCTCAGTCAGATTTTTGTGCTTAGTTGTGCAGTGTGTAAATATAGCAAAAATATTTTCATAGCAATATTAACTTGAGAACATATGAAAATTTGCATTCAGCACACATGGAATGAAATGCATTAAGCCTCTGTGTAAATATATTTTATAGAACTTACTTAACAAGCCTACATACAAGTAACTTTGCAAGAATTTACTTTGTAGAACCAATGGAGACTTAATTCACTCTTACAACTGAAACTGGGGCAACTTAAATTAGTATTGTTAGCTGGTTTCATTAAATGCTTATAAATTTTAATTTGGTTACTGTTTTGCTATACATATTTATATCACTCTAGAAAAATTCTACTTCTCCTGGAACTAAGTACCCTTTTAACTTGCATCACCAGTCAAAGAAACAGTTTATTATTCTTATTTATTTATTAATACTTCAGACTAGAAATGTTCTAGATTCATTGAGTATAAGATCTTGTAGCAAAACAGTGATGGAGAATTTGCCACAGCCTTTGAGTTGTTCCAGTGGTTAATTACCTTCACTGATAATTTTCACCTTATTTCTAGTCTAAATTTGTCTGGTTTCAACTTCCAGCCATTCAATCTTGTTATACTTCCATCCGCTAAATTGAGAAGCCTTCTAATATCAAATTTATGTTCCCATGTAAGTACTTAACAGACTTAAGTCTGTTTAATCTTCTCTTTGAAGAGCTAAATAGCTCCTTACGTCTTTCACTAAAAGGCACATTTTCCAGTCTTTTAATCATCTTGTGGCTCGTCTCTGAATCATCTCCATTTTACCAACCTCCTTCTTGAATTGTTGACACTAGAACTGGACTCAATATTTCAGTAGTGGTCAGTTGCACCAGTGCCAAATACAGAAGTAAAATAACCCCTCTCTTCTCCTACTTGATATTCCCATTTTTACATCCAGAGTTCACTTTAGCCTTTTGGGGTACACTGCCACACTGGTAGACCCCTAAAAGTCTCCCATCCTTTAAGTATGGCCTGCGTTCTTTTTTTGTAGATGTATGACTTTACATTTGGCTCCATTGAAATGTATATTGTTTCCCAGTTTATCAAGTAATCCAGATTGCTCTGGATCAGTGGTGTGAATTCATTGTTTAAACACTCCTCAAATCTTTGTCATCTGCAAACTTTAGCAGTAATGTCTTTAAGGTGTGTCATTTTTCATAGCCAATATTATACAAGGGAGTAATGTGGCTAGCATCATGTCCAGCCGCCTTTTGTAGCGTGATGTGCCCTCACCGCTATGGCACCTCCTGCTGGTTAGTCCGGGAATTAACTCATCCAGCCTCAGACCATCTCCTGCTGTTGCTTCTTGTCTTTTTATTCTTAATCTCCACCATTATACTTCAGGCTCCAAATCCCTCCTGGCCCACAGTGCCCCTTCTCCTGGGTACTGCCCCACAGCAGTGGCCCCCACACTCAGGGTCCTCCCCTCCCCAGGGAATCCCCATCCCCTAAGCCCACCTCACCTCAGTGACCCACTGCCAGTCCTCATCTAGCTCCTTCCCTGAGGGCAAACTGCAGTCTGAAGTGGCCAGGGGGTTGGACTGGCTGCCTAGTTCTTCCCTGGCTGTTCTTCTCAGCCCCAGTACCTCCTCAAGCCTTGGAAGCAAATTCTCAGCCTGGGAGTTCACCAGGCTGGAGCTCCTCCTGCTCTTCTCACCACTGCTCTGTCCAAGGTAGTTCTTTTTGCTTGCAGGTAGTCAGTCTTTCCCTCTCTAGGCCCTGCAGCCCTTTTATATGGCCTAGCCTGGCCCTGATTGGCTGCCTCCCAGCCTTCTCTGATTGGCTGTCAGCCCCAGCCCTCCACAAGGACTGTTTTTTAATCCCTTCTGGGCTGGGGCAGTGTGACTGCCCTGCTACACCCTTGACTTCTCAAACCCTCTGGAGGTGAACTGGAGACAGCCTTTCAGTGTAAGATCAATAGAGACCCCACCCATTAACCTCTGGGATTGTTGTCAAGTGCATTAACCACCACACCACATTTTGTATATCACTTCCCCTCTGAACCAGGTTGTTTTTTAAGCAATATAGCCTTCTCAGTTGTGGAATTGTACCTTTTTTGGCATCTAGTAAAATGTTTTTAAACAGCTACCAATTATCTTTCACATTTTTCTGTATAAATTCTTTCTCTCAAGTGATTTGGTTCATAATTGTTTTCAGCTTTCTATAGTTGGCCCTTTTAAATCACCATGACTGGCTTGGACTTCATTGTCTTTGTGTGCAACATATGTAATCAAGTCACAATCACTTGCACCTACGGAAACGCTCATTTTTAGTTCTGCAATCGATTCCTCCTGTCAAGATGATAAGGTTTTTTATAGAATTCCCCTGAGCTGGGTATAACACTTCTGGAATTAAAAAATTGTCCTCTAGAACTTTTAGAAATTCAGAGGATGTTTTCGTACGAGCAGCATAAGACTTCCAGCATATGTCATTCAGATTGAAGTCCCCTATGAAATGCAAACCTATGAAAAAACAAAGAAATGAAAATGGAAAAAATAGAAGTTGGTTGTAAAATTTCACATTATGAGAGATGTAAATAAGTGTGATGTTATAGTCTAGTTATTAAGAGTCTGATGTTAAATTCTCAGTTTTCTCAATTCTCACCTCCTCCTGTTATGTCACAAGGTGGGGCCTTTAGTGATGGTGGAAATAACAGATGAAAATGATAATTTAGTTTGTCCTGAACATTTTTCTTGAGTATTTCTACTTAATAAAGAACTTAAGTTGTTTTGTCTTGAGATGTCTCTTAGGCTCATGTGGCAGCTAAGCATAGCAAGCTTAGCAATGAGTGGTACCAATTGTTACATAATTCTCAATATTGTTATTGTAGGGAACAAGACATGCACTACCTATTACACCCGGAGAAGCAGCAAAACTCTGTTCATTGATTCAGTCCTGTGAAGACTATTTTAGAATCAGAAAAGTCAACCAACATGGAAAATATTTTACTGGTCTAAGTGAAGAAGCAGACCAAGTAGGGAATTGTGGAAGACCTAACAATAGTATCAGTATGAGGCTGACGCTCTTAAGCCTTTCTTGCACTCCTGTTGGCATTAGAGTATTTACACATTTGTTCTTAACTCCCTTGCATTAAATAATTTCCTGCTAAATTGGAAGGAATTCATAGAATGATGTGTGCGAAAGCATAAAGAAAATTCTACCTAATTCCTGACTAGCTGTAAATTCCTGTAGAGTGGAACTTTCAAAGGATAATCAGGAAGTTAAGTACACAATTCCCCTTTGAAATTAAATAGGATTTGGTTGCCTAACTTTCTTAGGCTCCTTTAGAAATCCCAGCTGGATTGTTTTCTGTACAGTTTTTAAGAAGCTAATAATTAAACTATGTGACCTTAATGCTAAATTTGTCGCTATGATAACTATAATCAGAAACATCCTTCTTTCTGCCATTTATACAAGTAAATAATTCTGGACTTTCATTTTTCTCACTGTGATGGTAATATGCTTGATCTTCAGGGTATAACGTCCACTGTTAGCTGTTTTACAGCATTGGACAAGACTTCTTACATATAGACTAAAGAAAGTAGGAGAAAAGTACGTAGAGTAATAAATTATTGAGGAGAAAATTGGTACCATCTTTTAATTCCATTCTGTTTCCCATAATAAAAAGGATGATGGACATTTGAAATAATTCTGGCCCCATATTCTTGTTTGTTATCTTGTGATAGAGAATCTTTTGATTAAGCTTTGGTTGTTATAGGTAGAAAATATGTCTTGAAATAGTTGGGGAGAAGATAAAGACTAAAATAAAATAAAATGTTTGTAAGTTTTCAGCATGCATGGAGGAGGAACCCTTGAAGCAGAATTGGAGTTCATTTACCAAAGTTATGGATAAACATCAGAGCAAGCTGAAAGAACTGTCACCCCAGCTCAAAAGCAGATCACAGGAAAACTTCCTACAACAAAACCTGAGTGAAATGAGATGGTATGCTTCAGACCAGGAAAAATACAATTACAGAATTTCATGAGACCAACAGTCTTTCATCTGTTCTGACAGCATTTATTTATGCTTCTTTAGCTGTTCAAATCCACACAATGTGTTCAAAACATAAATATTTATCTTCTGTGAGTGGAATTCATGCCTGGGCAGATGATTCATTTAAGGCTTTGTGTTTAGACAACATAGGGGCTTATGTAGGTCCTCTGAACAGAGATTAATTTCACCCTATAATAGGGAACTTTTTGAAAGTCTCACCCTGTCTGTGTTTGCCATCTGAACACTGCTGTATATTGTACTAGTTCATGAGACCCTGCAAATGAGATTGTTTAGTCTATTTTCATTCCCCTGGCTGAGTGAAATGCAAAAAGCAAACAGCTTAATTAGTGAAAAATACATTTGATTATTAAAAGTTTGTGGTACAGTCATCTAAGGAGTTATTGGTAACACTTAAAATAAACTTTGCTTCAAAAGGTTTTTTTTGTTTGTTTGTTTTTAAATAGGGTAATTCCCAAAGTTCTTACTTCCTCTGGCTTTAGAGGACATAGAATGCAGCAGCAAGAAAGTATTCCCATAAGTATTCAGTGTAAATAATTTATGATATGCAGTTGAAAAGGAGTTGTAGCCTGTATATTAAGGGAACACTATAAGAAAATTCTGCCTTTGGTTCATAAATATTTGTGAAATGGAAAAGTTTATTTAGATATTAAACATGTATAGTTCGTGCACTTTGATTTCTATTAAGTTCTTGTGAATAGGTTGAAAGAAGATGAAATTGCCACATTGCAGGAAAAGCTTCTTGAAGCAGAGATGGCAATCAGTTCAATAGAAATGTTTTTGCCTTCTTTTAAAGTCACTATTGCTGGAATGACAAATGTAAGTTACTGTATTTTAATACTATGCAAAAGTCTGTGTACATATTTACCATCAGAACTCTAACTGGGTTAGTGTTCTGGGATATGCTGTATGGTGGTTTTTTTTTTTTTTTTTGCTCCACTCATTTCTGCAGAATTAAACTTTTATTTTATAAAATCTTAAATGTCTAACTCATATGGTTGATTAGAAAAACACTCTAAATGTTGACTGATGCGTTGATATGAGTGCAGACATACATCTTTAAATAAGAGCTTTAAGAGGTCCGAATGTTTGTTTTCATCTCACATGAATGTTAATTCTGAACCCTAACGATGCCAGTCAACATTCTGAGCTATTTTACTGCTGATCATTTTAGCAGAAACGTATACCTACTTGTGTATTGTGGGTTTGTGAGAAGAACTTGAGTACATTTGCATCTTCTTCCCCAATTGTAACCCTGTTTATACACAATATTGTACAGGAGTTACTTTTTTTTTTACTATGATTTTAAAAAATATCTTCAAATGAGATTTTTGATGTCTGTAACCTGTTGAGTACAAATACATTATTACTATTTAAGTTTATAAAACAAAACAAATATTATTCTAGGAGTCAAGATATCTTGATTTTTTTGTAGTCCCTCATGGATAATTTGTTTAAGAATTGCCATTGGGAATTCACACTTTTTTGTACCACAGAGTTAACATTTCCAATAGCACTTCAGTTTCTCTCCAGCTACAGACAGAAGTATCGTGAATACATATGTGCAAATCCAGATGAAATAACTTCTGTGATAGTACTTACTAAAAGGTCTATTACCTGATTGTCCTTTGTTATTTTTGGAGCAGCATAACTAGTTTGATTTAAATGGATTTTCCCTGGGGAGAGGAAAATTGGGTCTTTTATCAGCAAAAATGTTAAACTAGAGAAGAGCAGATGCCTGATCTCTCTGTAACAGACTTTGAAGAGTGAATATTGAATTATGTAGTATTTCATACCAAAATGTTTAAATTCTAATCTAAACAGTATTTTGCATATTCATTATGATATTTTTGCAGTGTACTTAGAAAAATAATTTTATGTTTTCTGTATTTTAAAGCTAAATTTTAATAGTGGTAATCATGCTGTTTTGGGGAAATATTGTAGTACACTTACAGTATATTTGTTTGTGGCTTAATATTTTATCAGGTGTGTAACCTTTCTACATCAGATATGCTTAAGATTTCTAAACAAGAGGATTTACTGATAAAGGAACTAGAGACTCTCAAACACATAAAAGGATTGTTATTGCACCTACTTAGAACAACAGAGCATGAAGAAGTAAGATGACCCAAAACAATCTTGGGCTGGTTTAACAGAGAGCACGAGCACATTTTATTTTTTTTCCTGAACTTTTTCAGTAGTGTTTTCAAAGAAAGAAAGAGCCAGTCACAGAAAATGCAAAATCATACTGTTTCAAATATTCTTTATTGTCCAAATCAACCCCAGGTTGTGTGGGAAGTTTAACCTATTTCAAGAAAACTATGCTATGCTGTGCTATGCTATGCTTGTATTGTATTGTAAATATCATAGAATACCCATACTTTCCTTTCATGTATATGTAGTCTTTAATCATAATCACATTTGCTGAATAAGACAGAACAGGAATTGCTTGACTTCAAAAAAGATATATTAAGTTTTTAATAAAAAGCAGATGAGAGAAGGCATGTTTTTTCTTTTTTCCGGAGCCTATGTATATAGAATAATCAAGGAAGGAGAGGAAGTTTAAAAAGGAAAAGACAAACAAATAGAGAATGACAACTGGTAAATAATAGGGAGGCAGAGAGAAGAAAAGTGAAGAAATATAGAGAGCATTATATTACAATAGTAGTGTGATTATCTCTTTGTGTTTGAATACCTGCTATTCACCGGTGTTTGTATTTAAACAAAACCAAACATACATAAGCAGTGAATTCCTAAAGTGGACATTGTACACATGTGCTGGTGGCTCTGTTCAGAATGCTCTGTAAGGCTTCCCTCTCACTGATGAGACAGAGTACACCATGCTTCCAAAATCCAGCAGAGTGCACTCTGCAAATACCAGTGCCGAGAATGCAGCTCTCATTTGCTTTTCCCCTTGTTACTTTTCTCTGCTTTCCGATCCATCTGTAGTTTGACACTCAACTTGCTGGTTATCTCCTTCTTATAATTCAATATGCACTGGTCCTGTAACATGCTGAGTCATCTAAACTTCCTTGGAAGTCAGTGAGCCCATTCTCTGAAGTTAAAAAGTTTGGGATTTACTTAACTGGAAGTTCCATCAATAAGGGTAAAAAGACTAACTGATAAAATAAGGACAACTTTGACTGCCAAATTATGTAATTGATGATTGTGTGATAGTTATGGCTGCATAAATGGTTTTGCCATTCCAAGTTTATATTTATGATAGAAGTTAATATTGTGGGATATAAGATTTTGGGGTCTGGAGATTATCTTAGCTGCCATCAAACAATATTTTCAGAAACTCTTAAGGAAATGCTTCACTTTGTCTTTAAAATAGATGAATGGAATACACACTTGTACTTTAGTCTACTATTTGAACAAGGAAAATTAAATATGAATGCCATGTAAGTGCTTCTATTTAAAAAATAATCAGTGTTACACATAGAATTAACATTGGTTTATTTTCCCCTATTCATAAACTCCGCACATAGAATGAACAGAATCTCTAAGGTATTTCCCACCAATTGTAAATAATCATGCATGTCAAAGTAAATACCTCCTTGCTGTGGGTATTTCATATATATCAGTCTCCATTCCGATTACACTGAATCAGCAAGTTCCATATACTATAAAATAATTAATTTTAAAATATTGGTTGTTTTTTCTATTTTGACTTGCAGATAAGCAGTAAACAAATTGACATTTTGATGCAGAAGTTAACTGAAAGTGAAACTGAAAATGATGTAAGTAAATTATATTTTCTGGCTCCTTACCCTATCAAGGTATGCCAAAGCAGTGAAATCCACATCTCATACAATTCCACTAGGCAACTGCCAGACCTAGGATCAGGATCAGGTCTTTCTGTCTTGCGGTCACATGTATGTGTATATTGATATACTTGCCTAGCTCTCACCCAATTTCCATCATTTTGTTTCTTCCTTACCCATTTTACTAGTGATATTTTTCAGGAGTATGGTGTCACAGAGTTTAATGTGCTGTACATTATCCTATATATAGCATGGGCCAGTTTATGATGATGTTCACCAGTGTTATTCCAGAGAAACTTTAATGGAAATGCTACTTATTTACACTGGTGTAACTGAGAAGAATGTCTAGCTCTGTTTCTCTAAGGCCAGATGTTACTTTTGTTTTAATGTTATGGTTATTCAAGTGCATTGCCTTTTTATTCTGACATAAATCGATAGGCACTGTAAGGGAGGGAAAAACGTGAATTCATTGCTCCCCCAAATTACCATTTTTGTTATAGTTTATGTAATGTTTCCATTCCGTGATGAGGTCGTATTCCTACCCAGATGGTAGCTATCGTGATCAGACTACACCATTTTGAGCAAGCAGATGGAACTAAAAGCTTGTAAACCCTCTGAATCATTCCCCCAAATATGCCATTTGCCACAAATGAGAAAATAAAGGTCAATATGGTATCCAAGTACCTAAAGCTTCAGAGAGGTAAATCCAGATAGTTAACTCCATGAAAGCAATGACAAGAGAAGTTTTAACCATTTTGTTGCAACTTCAGTATTACAAAGAAATGTAAAATTCCACCAGTACCTTTTTTTAAAACAGAGTAATTAGAAGTTGAAGTTCAATTTACTCCAGTACTGAGAAGGAATAACAAGATGTTTAGCTGAAAAGCGTGATACGGTGCTAAATATCTCAGGTAGCATGTATTATTATCCTCATTTTACAAATGGGGTAAATTGAGGCCCAAGGTGGTGTTAATGACTTGTCCAAGACCAAAAAATATAAACCAAATAACTTTATTCCGAGTTTGGGCAGAAACTGTCTACACTGGAATTTGAATGATATCAGATTTAAAAGAGCTGTTTATTTTTCACAACGCAGGAAGTCTGATACTCAGTAGTTAAGGCAACCTGAACAATAGGTGTCAGTACAAGGGCTGCTTATGGAACACTACCAGTCTGGGAGAGGGGCAGAATATGGCTGTTATGTCTGAAAAGCATTCAGCCAACAAATTTACCTTCAACAGAGGTCGAATCCTAAAACTTACTTTCCGGGGAAGACCAAATAATCTTTACAATTAGGAGCTCCTATCTCAAAAGTAACATTACTTTTACTTAGTTCACAAATATTTACTGGCTCTGTGTTTAGGTTGTTTTTTGGTTTCTTTACTCACCAGAGTAGCACCCCATTCTTAATTCCTTCTTTGGCTCTTCCCTTATTGTCTGCTCTGTCTCCTTGCTCTCTTGTGGCCTCTTCAAATGTAATTTTAAAAAATCAGAATTTTAAAAACAATTTGATAAGTAAATGAAGTGTATGTGTATCCTTCAGTAATTTGATTTGCAGGAAATTGACAAAACTTGACAAAAAGAGTGTCCCAGAACAAATCCCTGTAATACAAGGCATCATTGTACATCAGCTAAATTTAGGTACCCAATTATGTTGACTGTGCATCTGTACACTTAAATTCATGTCCCTGCTTTGAGACACTTTTGTTCTTATATTCAGGTGTACTATTTCTTTGCTTTTAAGCATCATCTTGAAATTTTGTGTCACTGGAAATGAGAGCTCAATTCCCTAATAAACTATCCCTTTTACATGTGCAATTTGAGTGCAGTTATGAAAATGTAGCCCAAAATGTGCATATTGAGACCTTTTAATTTTGTATTAATTTTCCTTCATGAAGGGTCTCAGAAAAGAAACGCTTGAAACAGAAAAGCATATTGTAGAGCTTTCTTCTCAGCTTCAACAGGAAAAAGTAAGTCCGTTTCCCCCTCAGAATAGATGTTTTATCTCCGTGTGCTAAATTCTTACCTCCAAAACTCCTAATTTTTCAAATTGTGAGAAGTGTAATATTTAATTTCAAACATAATATGAAAAGCTATTCCTGTGGCCAGTGTTTCTCATAGAGGTGAACCCACACCAGGAAGTTTGGCTCCAGATGTTTTTCTTGGATTGTGAACCATTCTCACCCCAGCCCCTCCAATGGTCAGTGTGAGGGATGGCTCTGAAGCGGGAGGTTGGTTTGGACCTGACTGTCGTTTCTCATTTAAGGTTAGGTTTAGGCTAATGTTGCACACATGCATAAGGTAGAGGGTAGGGTTGCCAAGTGTCTGGTTTTCGACCAGCACACCTGGTCGAAAAGGGACCCTGGGAGCTCCGGTCAGCACTGCTGATTGGGCTATTAAAAGTCCAGTTGATGGGGGGGCTGGCAGGCTCCCTACCCGGCTCCGCGCAGCTCCCAGGAAGCAATGACAAGTCCCTCTGGCTCCTAGGCATAGGGGCAGCCACGGGGACTCCACATGCTGACCCCGCCCTGAGCGCCGGCTCTGCAGTTTCCATTGGCCAGGAACTGCAGCCAGTGGGAGCTGTGGGGGTGGCACCTGCAGGCTGGGGCAGCTTACAGAGCTCCCCGGCAGCGCCTCTGCCTAGGAGCCAGAGAGACATGTCACTGCTTCTGGAAGCCGCCTGGGGTAAGCGCCACCGGGAGTCCACAACCCTCACCCCCTCCCGCAACCAACCCTGTGCCCCAGCCCTAATATCTGGCACCATCCCAGAGCCTGCACCACCAGCCAGTGCCCTCACCCCAACCCCATGCCCCAGCCCTGTGAAAATGAGCGACTGAGTGGGGTGAGAGAGGGGTGAGAGAGGGAGAAGGGGTGGAGCCTCGGGGCAGGGGTGGGGTAATGGTATTTGGTTTTCTGCTGTTAGAAAGTTGGCAGCCCTATAGAGAAGAGAGTGCAAAAGCCCCTCTCCATTTTGCCTCTGTACAGGGGCTGTTCACAGTCACTCTCCTTGTGCTCTGTGAGTTCATCTGTCGCTGAAGGCTAGTGTTCTAGACAGTGCTAACCTCGCCAAAATATGTAGATAAAGGTCCCTTTTACCCTCTGTACCAGACAAGGGAGGTGGCTCCATTCAAAGTGAGGGTGGGAGGAAAAGCACTGACTATACTCAATAAAAGGGTTAAAACAGCTCTAGACAGTGCTTCAGTTGAGGGTATTATACTTGAGTCTGGGTTTGCAATCTGTTTCATAATTATATTGTGTATGTACCCACAGAGTGTGTGTACTACTCTATGTTAGAAATCAATTATACTGAAAAAATAGAGAAATCTTCTTATGGCATATCTGCATAAATTAAAAGATTTGTGTTCATATCTTTTGCATAGGCAAATGCACTGAAAGCAGACCACCTATCAAAGTCAGTAGAAGCTGTACAAACCCATCTGCAATGCCAGATTCAGAAAAAGGAGGCTGAGAATGATCAGTTGAAAGCAAAATTACAGGTTACAAATATTTTTCCTTTGGGTTTACTTTTAGTTCATTGGTAAATTAATGAAAGTATATTGGGGCCAGAGGGCCATTTTTAATTAGAAGTTGTCAGTCAAATCTTAAAATGTCACTTGTTATTATTAAATTAAATCCCTGGTATAGACTTAAATTAGAATAGAAAACACCAAACCAGTAAAAATAATGGAAATATATATTTCTTGAGATCCACTTGGACAATACTCTTAATTACAAATGAGTTTTACAAATGTTCAGAGCTTACACTATAGACACTTATAGAATGATGTAAAAAGTATCCAAAGTAGCCTTTATCCTGCAAACACTTACACATGTGCACCTAAGGAGTCCCGCTGAAGAGAATGCAACTATTCACATGCTTAAAGTAAACATGGATGGAAATGTTTGCAGGATCAAGGCCTAATAAAGGGACGAATATTCGTGTTAACAACCAGAGAGAGTTGACAGGAGTTGTCATTGTTGAAAGACTGCAAGGATGTGATCAGGTGGCTGCAAGGGAGGGGACAGACTGTAGCCACAGATTCTCTACTAGTATTTGAAATGTGCAAGGAATGTGAAATTTAGGATTGAGCAGGGGAGTTCTCTTAAAAGTGGACTATCCCTATTACCTTTTATCTTTTTGAATTTGCCGGATACCTTACCATCAACCTGTTGGTCAGTTGCTTGTTATCACACACTGAATAAAAAGAGAAAAATCTTGGTATGAATATAAGCTTCTGTTCACTTTCTCCAGTTTAGAATAATAATAAAAAAAAGTAAGTTCACTCTTACTGAACAATATTTTGATAATGGTCTCTGCTGCACACACTTTCAATGGGCCAAACTTCAAGCAGAACTTCTACTGCTGAAAATATAACTGCCAAGCTTGGTTTTTTTTATTTAAACTCATTCTTGCTTGTACACTAAATAATGACAATGACATTGAGTAAAACCCTGTGTTAGCCATACTTTATTCTCCCTTATTAAAGATGAGCTAATTTTGCTTGGCTCTTTTTATGGTCTGTGCTGTCTATAGGCCTGGCTGGCATGCCTGCTGGTTCTTCACCAGTTCAACTCATGTATTCTATATATTGGATAATATAATTGAAATTAGCTACTTTGTCTACTACATATAGTATTGTTCTCTGAATACAGAATTATGGCCTACTGAGCCCAAACAAAACAGCCAAGTAAATAGGCTTTCTGCAGGGTTCTTTTCAGGGGCGAAGTAGCATGGAATCCTACCCCATTGGCAATGGAGCACCAGTGGAGAGGCCACTTCTACAATCCATGGTCTGTGGGAGCTTGCATAGGTGCTCTGTCATCTCCCATCATATGCAGGGGGGAAGGTTTGGCCAGTTGATCTGTATAATTAAAAATTCCTAAAATAGAATCTCTTACTAGAGAAGGATAGAGCAGCATATCATTTTCATTTCATTTTAATTGATCCTCCAAGGAATTACTTGTGGTTGCTCCAAATCAGTTGTAACTAGCCACATATTCAATCTTTTAAGCACAATTAAAGAAACTAGGGAAATTAATACAAGTTTGCAATATAATTTTAAAGGGGAAGGAGAGGTTTTATATAGTCTGAGGAAAGCTGAGTTTTGTAGTTAAACTAAGCATTGTATGTGTATTAGCTGAACATGTCAAAAAATCAGTTGAATCATCTTATATGCGTAATTTGGGTCTTTTGGTCACTCACGAAGCCCTCCTAGAACAGTAGGAGTTGAAAGGCATGATATGTCATAGTGCAAAGGTAACTTGCCTAGATTACAGCATAGCAGCCGTGTTAGTCTGTATCCACAAGAAGAAAAGGAGTACTTGTGGCACCTTAGAGACTAAAATTTATTTGAGCATAAGCTTTCGAAGTGAGCTGTAGCTCACGAAAGCTTATGCTCAAATAAATTTGTTAGTCTCTAAGGTGCCACAAGTACTCCTTTTTGCCTAGATTAGTAATAAGGCTTGGATTTGACCTTGGACTCTGATGTTTTGGATATTAATGATCCCCTCATAGATACCATACAGACAAATATGCAGGATTTTTTTTGTGTTTAGACTTACTAGAATCTTACTCAATTGCAAAGATGAACTCAATTGATAAGTTAATTATAGAAATTAATTAATTCTAACAGTGATTACACCTGTTTCTTGGTGAATATGATTTTCTAATAGTGATACAAACCTTTGTAATGATGTATTTTTACACTTTTTGGAATATAGGAATGAAAGTGATTTTAAAACAATATCACTGTAGAAGTTTCAGAGCAATGCCAAATACTAACTGTGTGTGTGTATGTATAGCTATATAGATAAGGGCTGTTGATTAATTGCAGTTAACTCACACGATTAAAAAAAATTAATCACGATTAGTCACACTGTTAAACGATAGAATACCAAATGAAATTTCTTAAATATTTTTGGATGTTTTTCTACATTTTAAAATATATTGATTTGTATTACAACACAGAATACAAAGTGTACAGTGCTCACTTTATATTATTTTTTATTACAAATATTTGCAGTGTAAAAATGATAAAAGAAATAGTATTTTTCAATTCACCTCATACAAGTACTGTAGTGCAATCTCTTTATAGTGAAAGTGTAACTTACAAATGTAGGGGTTTTTTTTGTTACATAACTGCATTCAAAAACAAAACCATGTAAAACTTTAGAGCCGACAAGTCCACTCAGTCCTACTTCTTGTTCAGCCAATCGCTAAGACAAACAAGCTTGTTTACATTTACAGGAGATAATGCTGACCACTTCTTATTTACAATGTCACCTGAAAGTGATAACAGGCATTCACATGGCACTTTTGTAGCCGGTGGTGCAAGGTATTTATGTGCCAGATATACTAAACATTCATATACCCCTTCATGCTTTAGCCACTGTTCCAGGGGACATGGATTATCTCCTGGAAGCATTATCTCCTGCAAATTGTAACCAGACTTGTTTTTCTGAGCGATTGGTTGAACTAGAAGTAGGATTGAGTGGACTTGTAGGCTCTAAAGTTTCACATTGTTCTATTTTTGAATGCAGTTATTTTTTGTACATAATTCTACAGTGGTAAGTTCAACTTTCATGATAAAGAGATTGCACTACAGAACTTGTATTAGGTGAATTGAAAAATACTATTTCTTTTGTTTTTTACAGTGCAAGTATTTGTAATAAAAAATAAAGTGAGCACTGTACACTTTGTATTCTGTGTTGTAATTGAAATCAACATATTTGAAAATGTAGAAAATGTCCACAAATATTTAAATGGTATTTTTTAATCGTGTAATTAATCACGATTAAATTTTTTTTAATCACTTGCCAGCCCTAATATATGGTATTTGCCATTAAGAAGTCAACATTTGGAAATTAAAAGTAGGGTAGATTTTTTTTTTCCAGGTTTAGAAGATTACTTATTTTCTCCTCTAACACTTTTACTCCGGAACATGAAATTAAGTATACACATTCCATGTTTTGTTCTGAAGGATATTGTTTCTTGTACTTCTGCACAGTGTAATTATTAGAATTCTCCCAGCAGATTTTATTAAATGGTATATTTCAAGGAATAAGCTGATCTTTGCATAAAGATTCAGTGAGAGTAGACAGCCATATGGGCTGAGGTTTTCAAAGGAATCTAAGGTAATTAAGTGTCCATAGCCCATTGAAGTCAGCTGCTACCCTGACAAAGCCTTGGGACAGGTTGAATGTTTTCTGCTCATTATGAAATGAGTTCCAAGTTTAAATTTACTAAAGTCTTTGTAAAGGACATAGCTGCATGCTACGCAGGACTGTCAGTCATAGTGTGATAGTGACATCTTGTGGTGATATAAAGGACTAACAATTGTATTCCCTATGTATTTCTTTAACTTAATATACGCAACACGGTAGGTGAGGTAATATCTTTTACCAACGTATAAGCAACAGACTGACAAATAAAAATCTTCTATATTCTCCTAAATTTGCTTAATTCATTGAAGATATTATTTCCCAAATCACAGTTATAAAGATCAATCACAAATATAAACTGCTTCATTTCACACTTACATCAAGAAGTAACATTGTTCCTTTTTTTTTTTCTTTTGACTACCAAGTAGATTGCATATCATTCTAGCTATGTATGTGTTTGGAACCCACCTTAGGAAGGGTCATGGCCCAAACTTGAATGAGAAGGCACTATACGTGTTTTTAATTCATGTTACATTTAGTCATGTCTGCCTTTAAACTATTTTAAGATGACCTGATAGAAGATTTTATATAGACTGGTATATGTAGCTGACATGTTTACTACTTTATTGCATGGTGGAAAAATTGTCGATAATATCAATGTGGCTTTAAGACTGTCCATCAAGAAACAGTTGCATGCTGGTAGATTGTTGATGCCATCGATGGCCATCCTAAAGACAACTGTGTTTGGGCCCTCTTTCAAGCAGGCTTTAAGGATACATCTGATTGCTTTCTTCGCCAAATGTCACTATACCTTGTTCTAATGTCTTTGATGTGATTTGCCTCTAGCATCCTTATTGTAATAAAAAATGCTATGTATGGGAACAAACATAAATATCTAGTTCAAGTAACTTGCCCAGCCTTGCATAGGAATTCTGTGGCGGAGGCATGGAGAGAATCCAGTTCTCCAGGGCAACGTTCATCTGACTCAACTTTGAGACCATCCTTTCTCTTTTTTTGCAATCTTCTGCCTCATTCATTGTATACTTCTAACTTCTGCAATAAATGATGCAGGGGTGCTGAAGATAATTGTCTTGTTCGCTGCACAGCCCTGATTCATCCCCAGACTGGGTGCATTCAGACCGCTGAATGAGGCAGGGGTCCTGTGGAAAATATAGTACGTTATCATGTAATTAAAGACTGTACTATAATTTATACACATAAGGCAGTGTTGGCGTTTCCTAACTTTTGAGTGTATGACTATGCAGCCTTAATGTTCTTTTAATGTATTTGGTTAAATGTAATTTCCTAATTTTTTCAAAAACAAACTGCAAAAAAGTTTCTGTCATGTGGAGTCATATTGATTGCCAGTTTGGGTCATCAGCAGATTTTAGACCCTTACATCCACAGCACATACTTGAACCACTTGAGCTAATCTAGTAACTGATAGCAGTAGTAGGTGGTTATATGCTGTGTTGGCCAGCCACTAGAGGAGGATGAAACACACACTTTTTCAGTGGTCTTCAGAACTATTTGCTGACAACAGAAGAATGTAGCGACTTAGGACTCTTGGGTTCTATTCCAGGTTCTGGATGGGAGTATTTTCTTGTAATTGTAGACTCTTCTGCCCCTCGAGCCCCAGTCTGTCCTTCTCCCCATTTGCTGCTGCTGCCCGCCACAACCTACTCACTTATTCCTATCCCCTTCCCCTTCTGCTGTGCCCCCACCCCCAAGGCTTTCCCCCACCATTTGGCTCCTTCCTTACCCTCCGATTTATGTACCCTCCTCCCCCTCTGTCCCTCCATCCCCATTTCTCACTATTCAGTGTGTGGAAATATGGGGTGCACAGCTTCTGCTCTCATCCTTGTGCATGTATTTGGGATGCAGGTAGCCTAGTGCAGGTGGGGTGAAAGTCTTTCTTCCCTGCACGGTTATGTTACTGTGACTCAAAATCTGCCCCATAATGTTCAGAATATATCATTCATTTTGCTTAATTATGCTGCAGACTCTGGAAAAGAAAATAACTGAGTGGAAGCTTCAAACTGGCAAACACAAGCACCAAATTTTAGCTGTAAAGGAAACAAATGAGCAAAAGAAGAAATCTCTGAAAAAAGCAACCAGAGCCCAGAAACAAAGAGCTGAATGTTTTGAAGCATCTGTTGAAAAACTAACTTCCAAAATTAGAAAGAGGGTAAGTGGCTGTGTTGATATAATCAAATGTTTTTTAAAATAATCAATTATTTAAAATAATAAGTGCAATCAAACATTAAGATTGCCTCATCATTGAAGAACAGTAATGACCGACTGAGCGTGCTGTACTCTGGACTGGTACCTTTTAATTTGTTCCACTTTAGAGAAGGGTAATTTAAAATCAGGGATCCAAAAGTAATTGCTAGATAAGATGCATGAACTTTAAGGTCAGAAGGGACCATCATAATCATCTAGTCTTCATTTTATTAAAAAAATTAAAACGTCAGTTTAGTGAATGACTTGGACCACGTGGTTGTACAATTTGTAAGTTTGCTCTAGGGGCTTTGGTCTCCCTTCAGTACGGTATATGCCAGTTAATATTACTGGGAGTCATGCACATTAATCCTTAAATATCATTGAGAAGCTTGTTCCCTTACATTCATAGGTGGGCCCCGATCCTGCAGTTTGAGCTGTGTGGATAGACACTGAAGTTAATGGGCACAAATGTCCACTCACACAGATCAGATTGCAGGATTGGGGTCTTGATGTCTTAGTACTCAGCTATTTTCTTTTTTCAAAAATGGATCCAGCAGGCAGCATTTCTTATAGATGCTCAAATCTCTCTTTGTAAGCTGTATGCTCTGAATTTTGTAGAGCTTTGAAAATGAAGTTAGAATCCTCTCATTCAGCTGTTGCTCGGACCTTGTTGAGGGCCTCTTGCTGCCTTTTTTTCACCAATGTTAAGAAATTTCAGAAGGCCAGGAGGATCAGAACTTTTTTGAGTGATCTTTCTGGAGCTGGTGGATTACAATTCTGAATGGAATCAGTTGTCCCATTAGAGTACATTTAAAACTTTGTCTCCTTTCATTGCATTTCCCAATAGGTGGGAATATGCTTTCATCATAACGTTACACCTTTTTAGACATACAATACATTTGCCTAGTTGATATATCAGGATCTAATTAAATTTTGCTTTGTTTCTTCTTTGTGGGCTTAATTTACCTTCAGACCATACGATGCAACTTGATTTTCTCATGATGACATTCAGTTGAACTGGACCTTTTAATAAATTAATTAATTAAAGTAATTTAATTGCCATTTGTCTAACTCCAATTTTTATGTGTTCTCATAGTACTTTCCCTTTATTTTCCTATTGTGAGGTTTAAGCTGAAGGTTTTCGAAGCAGTTAATTTTAATGGAACATGTGTGGCTAACTCTTCACTGCTTTGAGAAGCTCTACTTTAACAGCCATTAAATAAACCACAAAATCCAATCTTTCTTCTTTTGTGTTTGAAACTCTCTTAGTTAGCTATTGTTTCTTTTTCACAACATTTTGATGTTGTGACTCAATTTCATTTTGGCATTTATTTTGATCTCTTATTTTAAAAAATGTCGTCATTCTTATGTCTCAGAGATTAGTACAGTCAAAATATTTATTTTAAGAAAACATTTTACCTCAAATTTTGAAGTCTTGCTGCAGTCTGCAGCTAGAAAACATTATGAATGCTTAATTGTGATTCAGTTCTAGGGACTCATAATTCTGTAGTTCAAGCTTATTTAACATATTTAAAAATTTATTTTAATTTCTCTTCTTGAGATTGCAAGCTTAAGTTTACATTATTTTATACTACTGAGGTATGACTTAAGGTTGCTTTAAATTAAAATGCCTTTTGTGTTTAGGGAACTGTGCAAAATTAAAAAGCAGTTCTTATGTTACATGATCTATATTTTGTATATTCTCCAGGAAGTCAAATTGTCTGAAGTACTTTCAGCTTCCAGTGTCTGGAAAAATCATCATGAGAAGGCTGTAGAAGAAAAGACTAGGTTAGAGGTTCAAACTGAAACTCTGAAGAAGTAAGTTAAACTATTGAAGCTTTTTGCAAATTAATAAGAAATCATATTAATTTCATATACAGGTTTTTCTATTTAAAATTCTAGGTAGAATTTAGAACTTGGAAATTGGTGCTCAGAATTAGATATTTCAACTATGGAACATATCTTAGCATTATAGTCTTCTCTCCATTGGATCACACAACTTCCATTATAACTAAAGAGTAACTCCTACTCATCAAGGAGTGTATTCTGTCCCCTACATCATTCCTGACTACAGGGGCTTACTGTGCTTGACACAGGGAACCCTCTCATCTGCCAGCAATGGCTGCAATTACAGGCTATGAACTTGGGTTACACCTCACACGGGGAAAATTAGCTGAAGGCTCTGAGTAGTAACTGATACAACAGGAAAGGAGTACTTGTGGCACCTTAGAGACTAACCAATTTATTTGAGCATGAGCTTTCGTGAGGTTAGTCTCTAAGGTGCCACAAGTACTCCTTTTCTTTTTGCGAATACAGACTAACACGGCTGTTACTCTGAAACCTGATACAACAGGGATTCTCTTCTCCAGCCCCACTGTCAAAGCTTGCCTCCACAACAGCACAAAAGAACCCCCCCGTATAGACTCCTGGCTCTCTACTCTCAATTCTGCTGCAGTGAATCTGACCAGTTAGTTCCACTACGGAATGGGCCTTCCATACATGGAGATAGGGGTAGGATTTGCCACCAAATGTATACATGTGTGCCATTTTTATAACATTGTATTCCCTGTAATCACAGACAAAACAGAACTCCCTAAAATCTTAAAATATATAATAGAAAAAGGTTGAATAATTAAAAATGCCTTTTTCCTTGGCATATGGTAAGAAATATTCTTACACATTTTTATGGTTTGAACTACAGTTTGTATTTCCAATAGGTTTTTCATAAATATGTAAAATAAGACTAATGGCTGCTGCCTGTACTTTTTAGTTGGGTTTCATGCAGAATGTTTGTTTTGTCAAATAGCTGTTTAAAGAAGAATGTTCACATGTTTATAAGGGCCAAAATTAAGTTTACAGGTTTTGGTTTTTTAAGTCTCAGAAAACCTAATTTTCATGGAAAGCGTTCTCATTTTTTTTTTTAATTTCAAAGAAAAAGTTTCTTTCCTTAGAGTTAAACATTGCAGCAAAAACTATGGCACTATGCCAGGGAACGAGCACCAGAAAGTAAAACTCTCTGTGAACAGACGTGAATCTGATTAGACAATTTTCGTTATCTAATTTGACTGTAGTACAAAAAGTAAATTGGCATAAATGGTGAAAAGTAAAGTAGAATCGGTTTACTTTTAATAGTTGAAGGTGGTATTCCTAACCTACATAAGACAATTTTTTAAGATGGCTTTTAATTTGACAGTCCCTTTTTAAATTCTGCATCATAATGTCTTGGACTGTAAATATATATAATCTGATATTTGTGCTGGAAGAGTGCCTGTGCATTCCATCTAATCAGCTTATTTACAATTGTTCTAACCCCATTTCACATCCTTTAATCTTATTACATCATTTATTGGAAAAGCTGAAGAACTTGCAACTTCTCCAGTTGCTCATTTGGGGTGTGTAAATATGTGGAGTTACTTTAATAAAAACAAAAAACCAAAAACCCACAAACTTTTCAATAACTGCTAGAGGAACATAATATGCAACTTAAATTTTAAAAAGTACTATATGCTAGTTGCTGCAAAAGTTCTTGATTTATTTAATAAAGGCAGATCACAAACCTTTTGGAGGACCTGAAAAAAATACAAGATTGTGGAAGAAATTCAAATGAAGAAATCCATGGAAAGCTTAATTCTATCAATTCAGAAAATGCAAATATTCGTCTTGAAAATGCAAAATTAAAGGTAGATTGTTATATCATTTCATTGTTCAGTATGAGAATAACACTGGATACCTGATGCATTTTAAAATAAAGAGTAACTAGATTTAATTCAGATGTTGTTATTCCTATACATTTTAAATATCTCGAGGCCTCCTTTAATAATCTGTGATACTTATACAGTACCTTCCATCCAAGGATCCCAAAGAGCTTTACAGGCATTAATGAACTAAACATCACAAGTAGGTATTATCCCCATCACAACATCATGTGAAGTAGGTATTATCCCCATTTTGAAGTTGGTGAAAATGAGACAATGATAGGTTAATACAGGAAATCTGTGGAAGAGCTAGGAATAGGTCTTTGATCGGCCAGTCCTGTACCTTACCACACTACCTTGTGTCCTTTTCATTATCATTATCTGTATGATTACGTAACTAACAATTACCCTTTTAACTTGAAACAAATTTTAACAATGTTCCAAACATGGGAACTGCGTTCACTTTTAATAACTAGTTTCAAATTAAGTTAAGGAGGTTTCAAACTTGCTTGGCGCAATTTGATAGAGTCTCTCGGACTTTCCTTTGCTGGTTTTGCTCCTACCTATCCTGCTGTTCTTTTTCTGTGGCTCATATTATTGATTCTGGATATCTCCATTGTGGGCTTTTCCTGTAAACCAAAGCTTTACACACTGAAAAACCAATCACTGGGGCTTGTGGGTGGCCACCTTTCATCCCACTCCTCCAAAGATTATATTCACAATTATTATTTAATTGTTAATTACATCAAAAGATGCCTAGTTCATATGTCATTTGATCTACAAATACTGCAATCCAGTTCGTAACAAGAAAGCTTCTTTACCATTCAAGTAATTTTATTGCTGCATACATAGTTCAAATGGCATTTGACTTTCTGTGTGAAATTCCCAAATAGTAAGTCTCGAGAGATCTAATTAAAAACAAGATTTATTAAGAGTGTAGAGAGAAGATCAGCTCTGAATAAAATAGTATACATAATATCTGGTTTATGTTTAGTTACAATAAAAGTTTAAAAAAAAACCTAAACATGTCTAGAAAGTACTCTTTCCTTTTGTCCTTCTAGCCTTTCACAGTATGCCTACACTTGGAATTGGAGCTTGGGGGACTAATTTCCAGCTCAAGAAGAAATACTCATGCTAGCTCTGATCAAGCTACCATGATAAAACTAGAGTATAGCCATGAGCAGCGGAGGGCCTAGCTGCCACAAGTACGGTCCCATCCAAGACCCCAGACATATATTCGGGGCTGCTAGACCGTCCGACTGCTTGTGCTACATTCTGTTTTTAGCATGGTAGCTTGATCAGAACTAGTGCGAGTATTTCTCCTCCAGTTGGGAATCACACTCCTAGCTTGAAGTGTAGACGTACATTGAGAATCACATTCTCTGGTTTCAAGTACCTCCCTGCTTCCCTTTCAGATCCCAGTACTTTAATGTTGAAAGTGGTCACAGACTATAAAGAAAAGGAGTACTAGTGGCACCTTAGAGACTAACCAGTTTATTTGAGCATAAGCTTTCGTGTAGCTCAAATAAATTGGTTAGTCTCTAAGGTGCCACTAGTACTCCTTTTCTTTTTGCGAATACAGACTAACATGGCTGCTACTCTGAAACAGACTATAAAGATGTTCCAGAATTCATCATCACATCAGACCTGCTGGTCAAGGTTACATAGGCAATACAACAATATATTGTTTGATCAGGTGTACTATCTGGGGGAAGTGAAACAGTTTCTGTTTTCTGTATAGTGACTATTATCCCCTATAGTCCTTAAAATCCAATAGCCCTTCCAACTTGGAAAATAAATCCAAGATTTCCTTTTTTTAACCAAGGCTGTCAAATGCCTCTTTGATTTTGCCTACTTCTTAGTCAGCCAGAGAATCAAGCTGATTGAATATTGGTTTGCCCTAACTAGAGTTAAACTCACACTCAGTCTGTCTTTAAAATGACAGGATTTACATCTTTTGTGTAGTATTTCTATTCTGGATCAAATATGAAAGAAAGTTGACAGATTTAAATGAGTTTGTCACAGTTACTTACCATGCAAAATAACAAAATATGATCATGTACAACTAAATACCAGTAGTTTAATGGCTAGTCATATAATAGTGCTGATGGTGCTTTGATTTCTTAATTCTTCATTATCAGAAAAAAAGTGTATTGCCTATAACAAGAATAAAATATTTATTTTCTGTATATTTTAATCTAGGCTTTACTTGCTGCTTTGGAAGACAACACTGTTTCGGCTGAAGCTGAACTCTTAAACCTGCAAGAAAAAGTAAAGCAGCAGGAAAATCTTGCTGAACAGTATAAAACTCAGGTGACTAATGGACCTGGAGGCTTAAGTATCAGTTTTATGTCTACATGCAGTTTTGAGATAATGATGAGGATCTTAATTGAGAGACATGGTGATAAGGTTATATCTTTTACTGGACCATCTTCAGCTGGTGAAAGAGACAAGCTTTTGAGCTACATAGAGGTCTTCCTCAGGTCTGGGAAAGGTACTCAGAGTGTCACAGCTAAATATGAGGTTGAACAGTTTAGCATAAGTAGTTAGCACATATTCTAAGGGACCATTCCAGGTGAAGTTACCTATTAACATCCCTGTAGTCATAGTACAAAAAAGGGGTGAGGGGGTTAGTGGGTTACAGATTCATGTCTTTAGTAAGATCATGATTTTTAGGCCTTGTCTACGCTACAAAGCTTTGTCAACAAAAGTTAAGCTGCTTTAATTAAAAACACTGTTGCATGTCCACACTGTGCTCCTTGTGTCGACAGAGTGCATCCACGCTAGCATCTGTTGCATCGATACAGAGAGCAGGCCACTGTGGTAGCTATCCCAATGTGCAGCTGGCCACAGGATGCTTTGGGAAGAGTTTGCAATGCCTCATGGGGCAGGTACAGCATCACATGTTGCAGGTTTCTCAATCCCAACTCTCCATGGGCATCCTAGTAGATTATCAGCTGCTTTTCAACTGAAGTGGGGGGGCGAGGAGAGACAGGAAAGTGGTGTGTCCAGGGCAGGGAAGACAGCAGGCCAACCAACTGACCTATCCTGAGGCAGGGGAGGGGGACACGCCCCTCCACATCAGCCCCCGGCTCTGCTCTGCACAGCAGTCTGTCCCGAAGCAGCCCGCTCTGCCTGCCTATGGTTCTGTGATTCCCTCCGAGTTCTCTCACAGCCTCAGCTGCCGGGAGTGGCATCCTGAGCAGCTCTGTGAGCTCTCCATGCTGAGGAATGTCAAAGCAGCACAGCAGTCCCCACCCACCCTCCACTCCCTACAGCAGCAGTCTGCCTGCTGCTGTGTTCCTAGTGCAGGGCAGAACAGGAGCATGCCAAGTTAATGATTTGCTCTTTGTTCTCAGAGCAGAGCAGCATGTTCAGCTGTCCTGGAGCTTTGAAAGGGGAGGGGCACATGCCTTCAGAGCAGCAGAGATCAAAACAGTGAGCAGAGTGGTCACTGCAGGCATTGCAGGATACTGGTGGAAATCAGTTATGTCGACAAAACAAACGGCAGTGTCTACACTGACCTGACGCTTTGTCGCTTTAACTTTGCCACAAAAAGCTTTATGCCTCTCATCAAGGTGGTTTTATTTTGTCGGCAAAACAGGAGAGTTTTGCTGCCAAAAATAGCTCTGTAGTGTGTACACCTCCCCTGTTTTGTTGGCAAAAGGCAGTGTTTGCTGACAAAACTTTGTAGTGAAGACAGGGCTATAGTGTCTAGCAAAGTTAGGAATTTAAGCTCCTAGGCTCTCCTTTTGAAAGTGGTGTTCAAGTTTCCTTTGAGGATGAGGACTGATAGGTCAGATATATTGTTCACTCACAGGTGATATGGTATTTTTGTCTTTTATCATTTTCCTGTGTGAGTTCATTCGAGAATATAGCGATCGTCTGGTTTCACCCACATAGTTGTTACTGGGGCATTTAGTGCACTGGATGAGGTAAACCACATGTTGTGATAAGCATGTGTAGGACCCATGGATCTTTAAAGGTGTGTTGTAGGGGGTGTTGATCATGGTAGTAGTGGAGATAAGTCTGCAGGTTTTGCATCTGTTGTTCTGTCAGGATCTGGTGTCGCTTTGAGTTGCTGTTCTGGTCTGCGGGGAGGTTGCATCTGATGATGAGCTTGGAGAGGTTGGGGGTGGGTATTTGAAGGCCAGAAGAGGGGGTTCAGGTAAGAGGTTTTTTTTCAGGATGGGGTGCACATCGACTATGTATTGTAGCTGTTTGATGATACCCCTTATGGGTTCCAGTGTGGGGTGGTAGGTGACAACTAGGGGTGTGCTGTCAGAGGCGGGTGTATTTCTGCATTGATGCAGGTTCTCTCAGGGTATTTGGGTGGCCTGTTCCATGATGCGATCTACTTCTCTGGTGGAGTGTCCTTGTTCAGTGAAGGTGGTTTTGAGTGATTTAAGGTGTGTATCCTGGACTTTCTCCTTGGAGCATAGTCAATGGTATCTGAGTACCTGGCTGTAGTTAACAGATAAAACCTTGAAGAAATTTTTTTGGACAAATGCACCATGAAACCAATGATATACCTGAGATACATCAATGATATTTCAGATGACTTAAGTTCCCTCATAGATTTCAACCATGACTTCAGCAACCACCACCCACCCATTAAACTCGCTCTGGAACACTCCGATGCTAGCATCAACTTCCTGGACACAACGATCAGCTTCAACAATGGAACCCTAGAGACAATTATATACAAGAAACCCATGGATCACCACACTTACCTTCATAGATCCATTAATCACCCCAAACACACCAAGAAATCTGTTATCTAAAGCCAGGCACTCCGATACCACAGAATATGCTCCAAGGAGAAAGTCCAGGATACATACCTTAAAACACCCAAAACCACCTTCACCAAACAAGGACACTCCACCAGAGAAGTAGATCACATCATGGAATGGACCACCCAAATACCTGGAGAGAACCTGCTTCAGTACAGAAATGAAACCCACTCCAAATGCACACCCTTAGTTGTCACCTACCACCCAACACTGGAACCCATACAGGGTATCATCAAACTACTACACCTCTTACTTGATGAGGACCCCACCCTGAAAGAAATCTTTCGTGAACTCCCTCTTCTGGCCTTCAAATAATCTCTCCAAGCTCATCAGAAGCAAGATCCCCACAGACCAGGACAACTGGTAACAGTCCTGGGACTAGTGAGGCCACACTAGAGCAATGTTTTGGCAGCCTGTTTATATGGCATATGGATATTTTGTCTCAGTGCTAGGGAAATACCAACAAAGCCCATATTTTATAAATCTGTTTTAAGTTCCTTAGCAATTCCTTTGTAGTATGTGCCTTTGTTTATAGAGAGGAAATTTTAGCATGATGAAATCAGATATTTTATAGAATTCGGTGACAGCGTAAGGGCACACTTGACTGACATCCCTGACTCGTCATATTTTATAATTACTGACCAGGAAGTAGTCCGTTTACAAACTCTAAACCCTGCCAACAGGCCTTGCCTATGGAGCAAAGAGCTACAATAAAATTTTTAGCCTGCTGTAAGAGACAAGAGGTAGTTCCTTAGCACATCCAGCCTTAAGTAGGTATTAGGGTCCAAACTAATGACCTTCAGAAATAGGCTACCATTAGTTGACACCCATTGTTTTGAGATGGAAGGGATTGGACAGCCAACTGCTCTCACACAACAGCTGCAGCTCGTTTTCCATGGTGAATAATGAGCCATTATATTACCAGTTAAATTTGGCGTTTTATATTCAGAGTTGCCCTTTCAAAATATTTGCTGTGAAGCGGGGTCTGTCACACTGCAGCAAATTTGAAAAAAGAAAACTTTAATACAAATATCATTTCCTGATGCCAGGAACTTAGTTTCCTCACTGCTTCTCTTGATTACATTTATTTCAGAAAAAACTTTCTCCCTCTCAGCCCAGCTTCTCCACTTACTTGCTGCTGCAGTGAAGCCATAATTTTGCTCTTCATCATAAGAATTTGTTACAGTGGAAATGATTGATGTAATTTTGACTTCACTGCAAAGATGAGATAGAGGAGAGATTGGAATACAAAGGGGGAAATTCCTTGTTGAAGCACATATATTTTTGATAAGTAACAGAAGTTGGAGGCATGGAAAACCTGTGAAACACATGCAAGGAGAATGGGTTTACCTTTAAGTATTCTGCAGTGTAAAAGCTCTTTTTAACTGAAATAGTATTTCTCTCTGTTAAATACATTACAAACAGATAGTTGCTTTCAGCAACCTGAAAGGGGGTTCCAAAGAGGCTGGATCTAGACTGTTCTCAGTGGTAGCAGATGACAGAACAAGGAGTAATGGTCTCAAGTTGCAGTGGAGGAGATTTGGGTTGGATATTAGGAAAAACTTTTTCACTAGGAGGGTGGTGAAACACTGGAATGTGTTACCTAGGGAGGTGGTGGAATCTCCTTCCTTAGATATTTTTAAGGTCAGGCTTGACAAAGCCCTGGCTGGGATGATTTAGTTGGAGATTGGTCCTGCTTTGAGCAGGGGGTTGGACTGGATGACCTCCTGAAGTCCCTTCCAACCCTGATATTTTATGATTCTATGATTTTAAACGTACAGCCCTTTTTTCACAGACAGAATTTTTCAGTCTGCAATAAGATCTCATCGCACCAAATCTAAATTATGGTAAATTAATGTTGAATATGTTTATACCAACAAGAAATAGAAATTCAGTTACTGCTGTCTAACTAAAAGCGTATACAATTTGATCATTTTAAAGGTGGTGGTCCATTGGCTTCAGCAGGAGCTTCTGGGTACTGTGCACCTTAGAAAGCCACACCAGATATTTAGGTGCCAAAAAATTTGTTTAGGAGCCTACATTTATGCACACAATTTTGAAAATGTTGGCCTTGACCCTTTAGAATCAGTCCAACTCCCACTGAAGTCAATGACAGGCAACATTCATTACACCAAGGATGAATTTGACCCCATGTATCTTAAATTGATGGAGAATCTTTGAAATTTGGAGACATGGACGTATGATCTCTTGAAATGGGTAGATCTATTCATATTTATGTCTCTATAACTTTTTGCATATGGCCTTTGGCCATAACAAAGCCTTTGAAATGAAAGATATAGGTGCTCATAAATCATATTAATTAACCACTTGTTGCCTTTTATTTACTGTATGTAATAAAGTAACTTTAAAGTGCAGTGAGCGTCAAGTGCCTGTGTAAATTCAAGTGAATTGTTTCAAAGATTGTGGGGATTTTTTCACGATAAGCACAGAGGCTTTTCATTAAAGTCTGTGTGTCTTAACATGAATATGTTAATACTATTTGGGCTTTGTTAGATGAGTTTTAATTGCAGGACAGAAAAGTTTGCCTATGGAAAAAATAACAACAATGCTTGAATTAATACAGAGGAACCTCATCTGAAAAGTAATTTGGTCTTGTTTGAGTCCCAGAAGACTACATTTGCCATTTACACATTTGGCTGACTTCATCAGGTTGACCAGGTGTCACACGGCAAGGAAGGAAAACTGCCGTTGTTGCGACTAGGGAGTGATGCAAGCGGCCTCAGGTGAATTAGTCAGATGACAGTCAAATAGGGTGGAGTCACAGTTTCTGCCTCTGCAAAGATATACGTTTGGGGCAACATAAAGTCAAAATAGGCTTTCTGTATCTGTACGAGTACAATACATGGCTTGGAATAAGGAGCAGTCTCCACAGTTGCTCAGCAGTTTGGGTGGTATTCAGTGTTTCTGCAGCCTACTCAGTTGTGAAGGCAATGATGAGGATAGAGAAAATGAATAAGTAAGTGCAGGTCAAGACAAAGTACCATTTAGGGAAATGAAAGGCTGTTGCTTGCCAGAAATGCTTCCAGCTTTAAGGAATGATGGAGTTGCATTTGCAAATACATGTAAAATATATTGTATCCTAGGTACAAAAATTACAAACAGAAGCAGAAGAACTGAAAGTCAGATATGAAAAAGTGTTAAATGAAAAGAAAATAATAGAAGCCAAAGATTTAGAGATAATTGAGGTAAGTAGTCCACTTTAATAAACAGTATAACATGGTTTCATGGTATTTTGTAGAACAGTGAACCTCAGACTGGCCTGGGAACCACTTGCTGGTGGTTGTAAGGTGCTGGCTTTCTTGTTTTCCAGGTACTAAATTTCATAAAAAGATGCCAAAAATATATTAAATACTTCACTAACACTACTTTTCCCTGTAAGCAATTGCTGTAATCACCACAGAGTGAGAATTGCAGAGCAGGAGCAGCAGTCGTACCCAGGACAGTGACTAGGGAGGAGGTGGTCCATAAGCTGCTCTCAATTAAGGTGTGGTCCACACTATAACCATTTGTGAACCCATCATAGAATGTTCAGATTGACTTGTTTGTTTGCTTTTAAATACTAATCAGTGGCCTAGCTTATTCCCATCCTTAAGAAAATCTGTGGAAGCTGGACAGGGAAGAAGGAAATTACTATAAGGTTTGCTTTGCTAAGCATCCTACAAATTCTTCCTTTTGGGGGGAGCAACATTCCCAGCTGTGCAGATACTATAGTTGTGCAGGAGACTAGATGACCTCTTGAGGTCCTTTCCAGTCCTATGATTCTACATAGATCTCTGGTATCTTATACACTCTGCTTCCTCACTCCCCGTGACTCTTCCCTGGTTCATTGTTAGCCATGCTAGGCAGCAGAAGGTAGAGCCCTTCTGCTCCTCAGTTTCTGAATTAGTAAAATTGGGATAATCTTTACCTGATTATCTGTGACTGCATATAACTTAATTGCTATATGTTTGTGGATTTCCTTTATGGTAAATATTGTTGCCCCCCTTTTTTTTTTTTTACTGAGACACAGACAGGTGTTGGTTCCCCTGTAGGGCACCATGGTTTTAAAGATTAGGCCTGAGCCTCACAGTGACAAGTCCTAGGTTTTTATTCTGGTTCTGAAAATAACCTGCTGTGTGACCTTCAGCAAGTCACATTCTGTTCCAACCTTCATCTGTAAAATGGGGATATGGTATTTGCCTATCTCATAACTAAACAATGTTTGAAAAGTGTTGTATGTGGCTGTTGCAGCTGAGGAGGGCACTTGCCACTGCCTTCCAAAATTACACTATAATCCTCATGTTCAGAATGTCTCATCTAAAAAGCTTTTAGAGCTTTCACATGCCTCACTGTGAAAAAATTATGTTACACAATGTCCCAATAAATCAGCATTTTAGGAATGCAATACACATACAATAAATTGTTGAAAAATTTCACATTACTTTTCATTAACATTTCATTACATTTCCAGTTTCACTGAGCCTTAACTAAAATATAGGGCTGGAGGGATGAGTTTGTGCCGTAATGTTAATTACATTTTTCATTATTATTTAGGGTGACCAGACCTCAAATGTGAAAAATCGGGACAGTGGGTGTGGGTAATAGGAGCCTATAAAAGAAAAAGACCCAAAAATCGGGACTGTCCCTATAAAATCAGGTCATCTGGTCATCCTATTATTATTGGAGGAATAACGTTGTGCAAAAATGTGTGTAGAATTTTAGACGTATTATGTATGTAACCATGTGGAAAACATTTGAAGATTTTTAACAATTAATTTATGGTTTTGCACCTACCTGTTTTCCCTTAATGCTACCGTGCAGGTGAGGAGCCAGATGCAGGCTCACTTGAAGGAGTTAGAACGTGTTCGTGACTTACTGAAAGTAGCTGAAGAGAGGCTGCAGGAGTATCAGGAAAACCTGTTGTCCTACAAAAGGAGCTATGCAGACAAATCAAAAACCATTAGGAAGCTACAGGTCCAGGTGCTTAAAGCATAACCATTTAATAGTAAAGTATCTAAACTATGGAAGAAAGTCTTGGGAGTAGTTTTGCCATCTGAGGGAACCCATATCAATGTTCTCTCAGCCACGTACTTGCTTAATACAACAAAAGTTCCTTGTGCAGCAATTGTGATGCTCTTTGTGATATGGTCTGCTTACATTTTTCTGTACGTTTAGAGAAATGAAATTGCAGCTTCATTCCCTAACCGAAAATTCTTATTTACTTTTGTGTTTAGATTTTAGAGCTTTCTGACCAAAAAAAAAAAAAACACCCTCTTCCCTTTTGAATAATTAGGTATGTTAAATGTGAATCCCCAGCTGAATCCCAGAAAGTTTTCCTTGTTAGTGTATTGTACAGTTCTAAAGGACTCCATTATATCTAATGGAGTAATTTCAATCTCTGGATTTTTTTCATGTAATGAAAATATTACATTTTTTAAAAATGATATTGTAATGTCTAATTCATAAGCTGGGCAATATTTGTTCAGGGAAATGACTATAAATCATAAACTTCAAAGCAGTAAATTATATCCTTTCTATTTTACAAGTTATATTGTATTTTACGTATAAATGTACTAAAAAGGACACTTCAGACTTCTAAAAAAGATGATTTCAAGTAATTTTTAGAGTTTTTTAATCACTGTTGTTTGTAGTACTAATTAAGGGCCTGAACATGTTTTTCCTCCTGTTTTTTATATACATTTCATTTTTCAAAGATTGTCTTTCTCTCCGTGTTCAGAATAAAAACTTACAGTTTTTTATTTTAAATTTAAATTTATGTGACAGACCATATATCTTTTTTGTGGACTAGAATAATCTGTGACAGCAGAGCTCTGGGAAGCGTTGGAATTAATGGGGAAAACCAGAAAAGGTCTCCTAAAACTTACTGACAGGTAGTCAGTGGCAGAACTTCCGATGACGCCATTAGAAACAGAATGAGGTCCCATGTGCTATTTTTATGGTCCCTATAAAAATACAAGCTCTGGATTTTATGTTAAATTTCTTGGAAAGGTCATCTTTATAGATCTAGAACCAGCTTCTGCTCTCACTTAAACCTGTCCAAGGCCTCAATTCGGGAAATCACTTAATCATGTGTTTAATTTTAAGTATGTGCTTAAAGTTAATCTAATGCTTCCATGCTTTCCTGAGTAGGGAGACTGTCCTGAATTGAGCCCTAAATGCAGAGGAACTCTGTCAGTGTTGAGAATGAGGAGTACTTGTGGCACCTTCGAGACTAACAAATTTATTTGAACCTAAGCTTTCGTGGGCTAAAGCCCACTTCATCAGATGCATGCAGTGGAAAATACAGTAGGAAGATACAGATATAGATTTAACATGAAAAAATGGGGCTTGCCATACCAACTCTTAACGAGACCAATCGATTAAGGTGGGCTATTATCAGCAGGAGAAAAATAACTTTTGTAGTGATAATCAGGATGGCCCATTTCTAACAGTAGGCAAGAAGGTGTGAGTAACAGTAGAGGGAAAATTAGCACAGGGAAATAGTTTTTAGTTAGTGTAATGACTCATCTACTCCCAGTCTTTATTCAAGCCTAATTTAATGGTGTCCACCTTAATCGATTGGTCTCGTTAAGAGTTGGTATGGCAACCCCCATTTTTTCATGTGTTGTGTGTGTGTCTGTGTGTATATCATCTTCCTACTGTATCTTCCACTGCATGCATCTGATGACGTGGGCTTTAGCCCACGAAAGCTTATGCTCAAATAAATTTGTCAGTCTCTAAGGTGCCACAGGTACTTCTCGTTCTTTCTGCTGATACAGACTAACACGGCTACCACTCTGAAAGCTATCAGTGATGTTTCTCAAGGTTTTCACTGTGTTCCTGTGATCAGAATCTGATCACTAATTTGTCAACAAGACATTTAAATTCAAATCAGTATTTTTCTTCTATTAGATCTGGTTATAGTCTAATATATATAGTTAAAGTCTAGTATATATTTTTGCAAAGTTTATTGCTCTTTTCAAAATAAATGCTTTGGTGCTTTAAAAAATCCATCAGACAGCACTTCTAAGCTGCTCCTGCATAACAACAGTTGTACATGTAAGAAAATGGTAAGGAAACAAATATCATTTTCAAGCTTCCAAGCACTTTTTATATACTGTGAGGACAAAATAATTTTAAAATGGAGAAAAAAGCTTTATGAGCCAGATTTTGCACTGATTTAAACCGGTTCAACTAAATGCATTAGGTTGCAGGGTGTAAGCCAGCCCTAAATTCATGCCTTAACAAGTCTTTAGCTTACATTATAGTCTGCTACATTAGTTGTATTTTATTTGCTTCAGATATAGGCCAAATACTGCTTGCCATGGTGATGAAGTAGGCCCACTGATTCTAATAGGATAGCTTGAATAAGGCAAGCTTGATTTGGCTTAAAATGTCCTGTGCAAATCTCCATTAAACAGCATGGAAACATCATTTTCACAGATGGATGACAACAGGTTCTTGAGAAACCATTCTTTGGAAGAGGAAAATTGTAACATTAAGAAGAAATATGAATATCTTAAAAGGTAAATGTGATATCTGACTAGTACTCACTTTTACATTTTTCTCCTCTTAATCAAATTTCATGTGTATCTCTTTTGCATAAAGACAGCTAGAAAAGATGGAAGTACAAAATGAAGAACTTACACATCAGCTGGCAAACCAAGAGGAGAGTCTTCAGCAGAGTGAATTGCAGCTTAAAGAGAAATTAGCAGAATATGATGCTTTAGCCAGACAGTTGGAGGCTGCTTTGGAAGAAGGCAGAAAAAAGGTATATATGGTGTAATATATTTCTAAATTTGATTGCAGTTTTTCCCATTTTCAAATAAAGAAAAACCTGGAAAAGAACAATGGGCTTGAAGAGGTGTGATGGTCAGACAAATCAAGAAAGGTAGATCATTCCATACGTAGGGGGCCGTGTGGAAAAATAGGTCAATGGGAGTTTTGCCTGAATAAATACAAAGAACTTTGGATTTCTTAACCCTGTTGAAACTGATGGCAAAACTCCCATTGACTTCAATGGGGCCGGGATTTTGTCCATCTTTATACAAAGGAATTCTTTCCTTCAAACAACATGAAGAGCTTCAACCATCCAATATTTAAATGTGCAGAAGTGACAGAGTTTCTGATCAAAAGCTTCAGCTTGCCTTTTTTTTCATTTTCCTTTTGAATGTGCAGTCTACTAGGACTTTGATACTGAGTCTTTCTAATGTCAGAAGAGGGCTTTCCACACTCAAAATGTACAAGTTTTTGTGTGGTCATGAACAGAAAAGATAGATTTCAAGCAATAAAACAAATAGGTGAAGTGTTGGAACTTACATCACAAGTAACTATTGCAGTACAATCAGAAAATATATATCTGAAGTGATAATGTCCCCATTAAATTAACTATAAGTAAAGTAGAACTATAAGTAAAGTAGAACTACAGTTGTATGATTGTTCTCATATTCTAGTAATACTGACATATTCTGAATAAGTCTCAGTTCAGGACAGATTCACAGATGAGTCAGACTTTTTTTTTCCCCCCATTAATCATTCGGACAGTATTTTCCTATGAGACAACTTATTTAATTTTAAATCAGAATGTATTCCATGTGTGCTCAGAATAATTGGTCAGGAATAGAGGGAGGATTATAACCAGTAATATAGAAGAGACGATCAATTGTAGCATAAAATAGTTTAAAATAATTATTTGTTGTTTTGGGCTTCAAATGCAGGTCTATATGTAACTACATCTCTACCTCGATATAACATGGTCCTCGGGAGCCAAAAAATCTTACCGCGTTGTAGGTGAAACCACGTTATATCGAACTTGCTTTGGCTTCGAGCATTTTCGTTATTAAGTCACTTCCCACCCTGACTGACACCTCAAAACCCCCGACCCATCCAACCCCCCCGCTCCTTGTCCCCTGACTACCCCCTCCAGAGATCCCCCGCCTATAACCCCCCCTCCAGAGACCTCCACCCCCTACCCAACACCCCTGCTCCCTGTCCCCTGACTGCCCCTACCCCTATCCACACCCCCGTCCCCTGACAGGCCCCCGGGACTCCCATGCGCTATCCAATGCCCCCCATTCCCTGTCCCTTGACCGCCCCACCCCCAGAACCTCTGAACCATCCAACCCCCTCTGCCCCTTATCCAACCCCTCAGCCCCAGCCCGGCACCCTTAACATGCCGTTTAGAGCAGCGTGTCGGAGCCAGATGCGCTGATCTGCCAGAGCGCACAGACCCACCCCCCAGAGCACTGCTTTACTGCGTTAGATCTGAATTTGTGTTCTATTGGGTCGCGTTATATTGGGGTAGAGGTATATATATATAGCTTTTTGTTCTTTCATTACATCACAGGAGTCTGAAGTGGTGGAAAAAAATTCATCCAAGGAGAGAGCTCTTCAGACAAAAATATTGGCTCTGGAAACTGAATTGAGAGAGAGACGAGAGGAGCAAAAGCGACTTGTCTGCAAATTAAACAATGTGAGTATCTATCTCTTTCCTGACAGTTTGAGAGTGGTAGCCATGTTAGTCTGTATCAGCAGAAAGAACGAGGAGTACTTGTGGCACCTTAGAGACTAACAAATTTATCTGAGCATAAGCTTTTGTGGGCCAAAGCCTACTTCATCAGATGCATGCAGTGGAAAATACAGTAGGAAGATATAGATATAACGTGAAAAAATGGAGGTTGCTATACCAACTCTTAACGATACTAATCAATTAAGGTGGGCTGTTATCAGCAGGAGAAAAAACTTTCGTAGTGATAATCAAGATGGCCCATTTCAAACAGTTGACAAGAAGGTGTGAGTAACAGTAGGGAGAAAATTAGCATGGGGAAATAGTTTTTAGTTAGTGTAATGACTCATCCACTCCCAGTCTTATTCAAGCCTAATTTAATGGTGTCCAGTTTGCAGATTAATTCCAGTTCTGCAGTTTCTCATTGGAGTCTGTTTTTGCAGTTTTTTTTGGTGAATAATTGCGAGTTTTAGGTCTGTAATTGAGTGTCCAGGGAGGTTGAAGAGTTCTCCGACTGGTTTTTGAATGTTATAATTCTTGACATCTGATTTGTGTCTATTTATTCTTTTGGGTAGAGACTGTCCAGTTTGGCCAATGTACATAGGAGAGGGGCATTGCTGGCACATGATGGCATATATCACATTGGTAGATGTGCAGGTGAACGAGCCTCTGATAGTGTGGTTGATGTGATTAATCCTATGATGGTGTCCCTTGAATAGATATGTGGACAGAATTGGCAATGGTCTTTGTTGCAAGGATAGGTTCCTGGGTTAGTGTTTTTGTTGTGTGGTGTGTGGTTGCTGGTGAGTATTTGCTTCAGGTTGGGGGGCTGTTTGTAAGCGAGGACTGGCCTGTCTCCCAAGATCTGTGAGAGTGAGGGACCGTCCTGCAGGATAAAATCATAGAATATTAGGGTTGGAAGGGACCTCAGGAGGTCATCTAGTCCAACCCCCTGCTCTATCCCCAGTTTTTGGCCCAGAGCCCTAAATGGCCCCCTTAAGGATTGAACTCACAACCTGAGGTTTAGCAGATCAATGCTCAAATCACTGGGCTATCCCTCCCCCCCGCCAAGGTTGTAGATCTTTGATGATGCGCTGGAGAGGTTTTAGTTGGGGGCTGAAGGTGACAGCTAGTGGCATTCTGTTACTTTCTTTGTTGGGCCTGTCCTGTAGTAGGTGACTTCTGGGTACTCTTCTGGCTCTCAATTTGTTTCTTCACTTCAGCAGGTGGGTATTGTAGTTGTAAGAACGCTTGATAGAGATCTTGTAGGTGTTTGTCTCTGTCTGAGGGGTTGGAGCAAATGCGGTTGTATCTTAGAGCGTGGCTGTGGACAATGGATCTTGTGGTGTGGTCTTTACTAACACTGATCATAAACTTCTTAGTTAATTTAATCTCTACATATGCTAAAGTATTTTAAATATATGAATATATTTCTAAATGAATTTGTACATAGTTTGGGGCAAAAAGTCAGTTCACATAATTCAGTTAAGCATAAAGCTATCAGAAAGACTGCATATTTTGTGCACAGAATTATAGATGACAGATTAGGAAAAGATCTCTAGGATAGTTAATCCATCTTCCAACATTAGTGCAGGATTGTCTACTCTGCTAAGACCCCTTAGTAACCTCCCTTAGGTCTACTCCTTATTCTAAAGGCTCACCTGGACACAAACAAATTGGTAGCAAGTCCATACCTACTTAGTGAAGTGGATAAATGTATTTGTGAGCTGGTAAAAGAATCTGATCTTACCAGGAATCTGTGCCAAAATTTTCAAACATGAGTGCTTAAAGTTAGGCACTCATAACCTTATATAGGAATCTAAATAAGTGCCCTGATTTTCAAAGGTTTCAAGCACTTGCAGATCCTAGGTGTGGCACATTGGTACTTACCCTATCAGGGCCCCATTTCAAGAAGGTATTGTGGGCTTGGCACCTTTTGAAAATCAGGCTAGCTATTTAGATGCCAAAGTATGAATTTAGGTGGAGATTTTCAAAGCAATCTTGGGGATTTCAACACATTTTCCATTATTGTTAATGGAAGGCATGTCTAAATCCTCTACTCGTTGAAAATTGCATCCCAGGTGCTTAACTTTAGGTATCCAAATAGAAAATGTTGGCCCTTGAGTTCATGGCATCAGGCTAGAGACAACAGTACACAAAGAGATACATAAGTTTTCAGAGACCCGGGGACTGATTCTGACCCTGTAGTACATCAGGTTTAACTTAACTGTAGTCGTTCGATACACTAGTGTAAAAAGTGGTGTCAAATCAGAATTGGGCCTTTGGTGTCCTTTCATTTAGGTCTACTTCAGACAGACGTTCAGAGCAAAGTTTTACTACTACAAGCAGAATGGATTGTCTTGTCTTTTTTCCCCTCAGAGTTCAGTAAAGTTGGAGATTGAATTGGACTGTGTCTAATTAATCATATTTATTAAATCTTTTGCTTAGAAAGAAATTATTCTCTCTGACTGATTAATTTGTATGATTAAAAATCTCAAGTAACCTTTGGTCAGAGAAGGGGAGGTCGAAGCTCTCCTGAAAGAGATGTTTCTTATCTCTGAGAAGAATGGTGATGAAATGGTATTTTCGGCCAACGGCCACATAAACACCACAAAGGTAACAAACATTTCCCCCTTAATTTAAAAAAAAATTCATTTTTCTCTCATATCCTTCATGAGATGGATGAACATTACATAAATCTTCATAGACATTTTTTTTTGTGAAGGGCGGGGGGAAGAGATGAATTCCAGCTAAACTGAAGGTGGCATATGGTCAAAAGGAACTCTGGCTACACCTGATCACCTACATTCTGATCTGATACCTGATCATACCTGATCATCTTACATTCTGAACTGGTCTTTTTCTCCTTCTAGCATGAACTCTGGTTTAAGATTCACAGGACGTTTTTTAAACTCTCTAGAAGCTTGTGGGGGGGGGCGGGAGAGGAGCCCAAAACTGATGGCCATTATCACAGAATTGTTTTGATGTGTCTTTAATTATAATAAAATAAAAAACAATTTACAATGGATAGAAATGATACAATAAGAATGGAAAGGCACATCGCTGACAAAGATAAGCAGTATTGCAGGGACAATTTAGTTTCTTATGCTACTTTGGATATTTCTGTGAAGTCTGTTAAAGATTTCCAAGTTTGAGACAGAGAACAAAGTTAGCTTTTTTTTGGCTGCTCCCTGTTCATCCTTGTGTAGTCAGGGTCAAGATGAAGGTAGTTAGGGCTCAGCAAGGGGGGACTGGGTGTGGAGGGATAGGGTTTGGCGGCGGGGTCTGAGCAGGGGGATCCAGGTGTTGGGGGAGTGGGGCTTGGTGGGGTGGAGGTCCAGGTGTAGGGGATGGGGCTCATCAAGGTGGGATTTAAGTGTAGAGGGGTCTCAGCGGGGGTGGGGTCTGGGTGCAGGGTTGGGAGTCCGGAGCCAGGGAGGAGGGGCTCGGTAGGTGAGCCGGGGAGGGGTGGGGCTTGGCAGGGAAATCTAGGTATGGGGGGTCTGGATGCATGGGAGTTGCATGGATGGGGGAGCAGCTCCCTGTACAATCACCCCTCCCCCATGGCTGAGGAGTGATGGGGGCAGAAAGCCAGAGGGTGGAGCTTTCTATAGCTGGGGGAGGTTCCTATCTGACCTGGACATGGCTTCTCCTTGGGAGGAAGAGTAAGTCCCGTCCTCCCCCAGCCCAGCCAAGGCTAGCAGCTAAGCCCAGCTCTGGTAGGAGCCAATGGCCAGTAGGTCCCCAAATACCCCCTCCCAGCAGCGATTTACCTCTCCGCCAGCTACTCCAAGCACCCAAAACGACACACCTGGGCTGCTGGGGAGGGGTGCATGACTGTTCTTGTGGCTTCCCTATCAGAAGTCATTTTTCTGCACGGAAGCAAAGAAATCTGTTGGGTACATGAATTCTGTGCACGTGCAGTGGCGCAGAATTCCCCCCCAGGAGTAATGTTGACTCTTTGCTGGCTCTTTGAGGGCTGGATTCTTGAGAGTAAGATTTTTCTGTGGAAGCTGCTAATCCTGTCATGGCTACAGGGCAAGCTGCGCCTTCAACTTATTTTAGTTCCTCTCAAATACACCCTTTAGGTGACAGGTCTGGCTTTCTGCTCCTCGCTCCAGGTAGAGTCACTCGGTCCAACAATTCCTAAACTGGATCTCTGGGCTGCAACCCCTTTTTACCAAGCATAGTAATCACACAGGCCCAACTCGCTTTTGGTACCTGTAAGAGGTTTCCTTCAGGGAAATGTAGTAATGTAAGTTTGCAGTGACATAGAAAGTGTCTTCCAAATGAAGCATTATTTGTTTGTTCCTCAAAAGTACAAAGCACTAGAATACAGGGTAGAAACAATAAAAGACTTACACTCATGAGTCTTACTTACAAAGGCTGCCAAGAAAAGTTTAAGGTACAAATACTAATCAGCCCAGCTAACTCCATCCCTGGCAGGGAGAAGCAGCCTGCCCTGCACAGCATCTCAGTCTCTTGGTGTTGGTCTTGGTGTCAGCCTCAGTCTGCTGACACCCTTTTCTACCTGTGGCAGGGTGCTGCCACAGAAGCCCTTAATCAGCTCCTGCCACTACAGCTCCAATACATTCTCCCTGATTGGGGCTGGGTGAACCTCCCTATCTTTGCCTGATAACTGACCACACCTGCCAGCCTCATTAGCAGGATCTATAAGGCTGGAAGGAAGTGAGAGAAAAGGGGGTGGAGAGGAGATTAGATTAGATTAGATTAGATTAGATTAAGTGGGAGATCAGGCTCAGAGAGAGTAGGAGCTTCCTAGTCTGTTGCTGGCAGCACCACGAAAGCCACACTGGCCACTGCTGGGGCATCCCCACAGCCTGCTGCTCGGGCAGTTCTGCAGTCAGCCACACCAGCTGCTGCTGGGTGGTCCAGGGGCCAGCCGCGCCAGCTGCTGCTCGGCATCCCCCAGCTGCTGGCCTTGGGGACTGCCCAACCAGTAGCTGGTGCCGCTGGACCCACAGACGGCCTGAGCAGTGGTACCAGTGAATTTTTGTTTATGGGCCGTGACCTGTCCATTACTTTTACTAAAAATATCCGTAAGCATCTTATAGAGGCATGTATGTTATTCTTACAAAACAATGCAATAGAACCCCATTTGTCCACGCCTCCATTATTTGGCTCTCCATATTAACTGAACTGGATAGCGGGGTTCGGGTTGTCAGCCCTGCCACTTCTGGAGCAGACAGTTGGAGCCTCGCCCATTCTCCTGATTTATCCAAATTTTTGATTATGCAATCTGGCCTCAGTCCCAATTAATCAGGATTCCACTATATAGCTGATCTTCAGTGGTACTCATACTGCCCGGGTCCTGGCCACTGGTACAGGGGGCTCTGCATTTTAATTTAATTGAAGCTTCTTAAACATTTTAAAAACCTTATTTACTTTACATACAACAATAGTTTGGTTACATATTATAGACTTATAGAAAGAGACCTTCTAAAAACGTTAAAATGTATTACTGGCACGCAAAACCTTAAATTAAATTGAATAAATGAAGACTCGGCACACCACTTCTGAAAGGTTGCTGACCCCTGCACTAGAATAGGGGAGTGTTTAACATTTCAAATGACTTTGTTGTTTGTTTTTTTCTTTGTTTGTTTGTTTGTGGACTCTAGTTCGTAAAGGATTTTCTATGAAGCAATGCATAATTGTTTTCCCATAGCCTTACATTTTTACTGTTTTCTGCTTTTGTTTTCTCTTGCTGTGTATCTTTTTTTCCCAATAGCATGGAGAAATGAAGGAACAAATCTCCACCTGGTACATAGTTCAAACAGCTGAGCTGGACATTGGTCAGATTAGCCAGTGAAGTCAGTATAAGTTTACCTGAGTAAGAATTGAGGGCTACATTGACTCCTCTGCCTCAGTGGCTAGAGTAAGTGGTATCTGACAGATCTCGGCCTTGGAATGGGATCATTCTGAGCCTTTCCTGATCCCCTCTACAGGAGTCAAGGATCTACAGCTGTGAAGGCATGATCCAGAGGGGCAGAAGTAGTATCAGATCTCCTGGAAATATATAGGATTTTGGCAAGCAAATTCATGCTGAATCTGTGGGGAGCCCATGGGAATAGTGTTGGAACTACACAGCCAAATATTCTGTGGGGCATGGGATGATCATAGAGCCAAGTGTGAAGGCACAGGGATGACCCTGTGCCACTTTGAGGCTGGAAGAAAGCATAAGTAGAATAATTCCAGGGGAACCTCCTGAGTGAGAAAAGATATCACTCCCCAACAGAGGGGGGTATATCCACCCATGGGAGAGGACCACAGATTTCAGCCCCCTACCTGAGTGTTAACAAGGAAGACATGAGTTTCTTTTGTGGCTGCTTCAAATAAGGATATTCAAGATGTTCTGTTAGCTGTTTTTATAACTTATTTCCAACATTGTCAGTGTTCCTCCCCTCCCCCCTTTGGCATTTCTATTTTGGGCAGGGTGTTCTTGTTCCCTTTTTTGTTTTTTCCCATGTTGAAAGGTACCTCTAAAAATCTATCCATGATACCTATGGATGTCTTCATTTTTATGAGCCTGATCCTGCTTCTGTTGAAACCAGTGGGAGTTCTGACATTGAGGTCAATGGGAACGTAGTCAGGCCTCAAAGCATGGATTTATTACAACTCACTTAGCTTTATAAAAGAATTTGAGTCACATGACCAGAGACTTTCCCATGCATTCTAAATTATTTTATCTTGCAACTCCACTTCCAAATCTCCCAACTGGGTCTGAAACCTTTTAGATAAGGACTTCAAGTCATTGCTATTATTTTTTAGCAGAATCTCTCTGATACCTTTGTATCAGGTCTGTAGTACATTTTTCAGTGGTTTTCATTCTAGAAGTATTTAGGCGCCAGTTCAAAATAAATATGAAAAGAGAATTATTTATGCCTGAGGGGAGGTTTATTCTGAACAAACACAAAACATATCCATTGTTCACCTTCTCCAGTTACATACCCATAAAATTGGGAATATATATGGAAAGGAAAAACAAAAATCAAATTGTTCTATTCCTGTTAGAATGATGCTGGAAACAGGGCAGGGCACAAGAAGGTAATTTTTTCTTTAGCTCATTTTAACCTGATTATTTCATCTAATGTTAGAATTAAATCTAAATGTTATAATTGACTAAAAAATTTAAGAAAAATGTTATTTTAAGAAACTCACATCTGAAATCATGTTATGATAGACATAAAAGAGAATCCAAAAATGGTAATTTGTTACATAAACAGTAATCTGCAATTTACCGTATATGGATCTAATAAACAAGTAAATGGTGTTATCATTCACCCTTTATTTTAAAGGGTAACATAGGCAACAAAAATCAGGCTGCATTAAAGATCAGTAACAGACGTTCTCATTAAAAAAATAAGCATGCGAGTTTTGAGTTCGTATTGGAATTAAGATGCCACAAATGTTTAATGATGGAAATCCAAAACGTTTGACAGTTGCTGTAAAGGATATCCCAGGACTAGTGTCCTTTTTTAAGAGTATAAAGTTATACAAACAGATCAATTTGGGCTCAGGAGACATAATGTATAGGTTCAAGCTTTTGGGATCATTTTGGAGGTCTTGTGTTTGTGTGGAGTTGGCTAAAATTTTAGGGAATGACAGACAGGGTTATAAACTTGAAGTGCTAGTCTTACTGTATTTTTATTTTGTATTTTATTTCTAACTTGCATCCCCTTTCTCTCTTTTTCTTTAGAGTGAGAAACATCAGGAAGTATGTTTGAAAGAATTAGAGTACAATCTACAAAAATCAGAAAACCAGAACCACCGCATCCACAATTATGTACAGTTCTTGAAAAACTCATATGTAACAATGTTTGGCTGATTTCTTTAATTTAGAATACTTTAAATAGCACCTGACAAGATTCTGTCCTTATTGGGTGTCCTTAACTCTCAGTGAAGTCAATGGAAGTTGAGGACACTTTGCTGGATTGAACCCTGTGTCATTGGGGCTTCATAGCAAAACTCTCACTCCCAAGTTTTTCAGAATTGAGCCTACCCTGATGTGTATACACTGTCTGATCATGTTCTGAATGTTTACATGGCATTACTAATCTGCATTTCTTGAACAATAGTGAGGGAAAAACTGCACAGTCTCCATGAAAGATATGCGTTCCTGTTATTCACTGTACTTCCGTTGCTGTAAAAATCTCACTGGATTCAATTTGCATTCCAGCTACCATGATAGTAATAGAAATACTATTCTTAATATTTTGCAAGTGTAATCTATAATTGAAAGAAAATCCATTCAAATTATTATATGGAGGCACTAAATGTGGTGACAATCCTCCTGATAATGGCCCCAATTCAACAAGGTATTTAAGAATATCCCTAATATTAAGCACATTAGTAATTCATTTGAAGTCAATGGGATTACTCATGTGCCTAAAACAAACCACATGCCTAAGTACCTAGCTGAACTGGGGCCAGAATGAAGGAAAATCCTGATTATGTAAATTGGTTTTCTATAGCCATAATATAAAATATTCTTACAGAATTGTGATATAGTTTTTAAAGGATAACAGTTTCAGATAACATCTAAACATCTCAATATATAAATTTTAAATGTATATTAAATATCCTATAAATGTCCTTTTTATATAAAAATATAACTGACGTTTCTTATTTTGTTTTACATGCACATGTTTTAATGATAATCTTTTCTCAATATATAACAAACTACTAGCAATGAAATATTTATTGGTGCATCAGTATTTTCTTTTTTTATTTTGCAGTTAGGTATCCATATCATCAAGCTAATGGTATATGAAGTAGTATTCTGTTGGTTTACACTCTACGTGGTTTTTTTTTTTTTTTAAAGAAAACTATTTAAGTATATTTGATTATTGTGTCACAAGCACAGTACTTTCTATTACAACTTTTTGGTTGCCTGCCTTAAACTAATACTAAATTTTCTTTTGATTAGGTTTAATATTTTCCTCCACCATTCAGAATTTACCTGTTTAGTGATACTGAACCATCATAACCTTTTTAAAAAATCATGAATGAAGAAACATCAAGATATGCAGAAGTAAAACCTTGAATCCAGTACCAAGTTTACTTTTAAAAGCCTAGCAGAGTCCAATTAAACCACATGAAGGTCACTGTAGTAAGTGTAGGCTTCTTATTTGATACATGGTTTAAGAATTTCCAGTAAATTGCTTTTAACCTATCCTCTGCTATCCAGGAAATTAGAAAAACCGGAACCTTTTGTCTTTACTTTAATGCAATAATTAGAGCCCTGCAAATACGCAGCTATCCGCTTCAAATCGGGAGACCATTTTTGCGGGTAGTTGAGCAGATGCAGATAGAACCTTACAGGGCTGTCTGGATCTGGAGTGGAGACAGATACGCGTTTGCACAGGGCCAAGCCAAGCTGAGCCGCGCCCGGCCAACTCCCAAACCGTTTTGGAGACACTTTGCTTCTTCTCAGCACCTGCTGGGCAGCTTATAAAACGCAGCCCGGTCCCAAGTCCCCTTCGTGGCAGGAGCAGCGACCCCTCCCTCCCTCCCCCACCCAGCAGGAGGTATTAAGCCAAGAAATACGTCCAGGAAAAGGTCATCTGATTTCCAACAGAGCCCAGAGCACTTTAAATAGGGATGGATAAATACGCTGTCTGGGCTGGGAACGTGAGGGGGGAAGAGAGAGGAAGAGGGAAAGGGAGAGAGTCAGTGCCTGGCAGGGGATGGAGAGACCATGAAGGAGAGACCAAGGAGCCGGGCTGCCTGGCTGATGGCTCAGGGAGTGGCGGGATGAAAGTCAGTGCCACGGGAGAAGCAGGAGCAGGAGAGAAGACCTGGGAGCCTATTCTCGTCCTCTCAGGCCGGGTCCACGCAGGGAGGACAGGCCCTCACATGTTGGGGGTGGGGAATCTAAGCTGGGGCCTCCTGGGCCCCGTCCTGCCCTCATGTCCCCCAGGGCAGCAGGCCCCATACCTGGCAAGTACATGTTGAGCAGCAGCAGCTGGACTCTGGCGCCTTTTGTCACATGGCAGCACCTAGGGTGACCAGCTAGCAAGTATGACAAATTAGGACAGAGTGTGTAGGGTAATAGATGTCTATATAAGAAAAAGCTCTGAATAGCAGGACTGTCTCTTTAAAATCGGACCATCTTCTTATCCTACCGGTGCCTGTCCCATGGCATCCAGCTCGGGCAACCAGGGGGTGCAATTTGCTCTGGGCCGGTGGCAACAGCCAGTGGCTGGGGCTGGGCGGCAGATCGGAATTGGGGCTGTCCAGCACCTGCTCGCCATCCAGCAGCTCAGCCCCCCCTCCACACAGCCTCTTCTCCTCAAGACCCCACCCCTGCACCACCCCTTACCCCCAGGCCCTACCCTCACGCTGCCACTTCATGCAAGACTGCCCCCCCCTCCGCTCATCTCAGCTCCTTCCCGCCCTTGAGACGGCTTGCGGATGCGGGTAGAGGTAAAATTTGGCTAGTGGATTGTGGGTCTGATTGTGGGTTGATCCCGGCAGATGCGGTTCGGATGCGGATTCACATTTTTGTATCCGTGCAGATCTCTATCCATAGCTAAACCTTACCTCCCATAGCTGGCTACATGGATTAGTGGAATTGGTGACAGTTTCAGAGGCAGAATCTTTACCTCAATGTAGTACGCAAGTTTGTATGCTTCAAGTATCCCATGAGTATAATACACCTCAGTTGTGTCAGGCTGATTGTTGGTGATGCACTGCTCAGAAAACACTAAGCCACTGAGATAACAGGTTGAGGTTGCTGGGCTGGCAGTTAGAAAAATATATCTTTTTTTACTTGTGAACTGAGAAAAGAAATTATGGAATCACTAAGGCCCTTATCTTTAAAATTCTTATGCATGCACTTAACTTTGTGTGTTGAAGCCAATGGAATTACTTATATGTGTCAAGTTAAGCTTGTGCAAGATTGAGTCTGTGGGACCATTGTTTTTGTATAAAGTTGAACATGAAAGTATTTACAGGATTGAAGCTTAAGAGACCGTAGCGATTCAGCCCTTTTACCCACATACTTGGATGCTCCTACTATAGGTAGCTGCAACTAGAAAGCACTATGAGTTTGGCTGAGACTACTAAGTTACCAGTCGATACTCTGACTGTGCTTAAGTATTATTTACTTGAAGGCCAGGATATGTTAATGCTAAGCAAAGAGAATAACATCTTTTATAAACACATCAGGAGGAAAAATACTAGAGGAGGAAAAAATAGGCCCCTTAGTAAGTGGTGGGAGGATTAGTGTCCAGTGTTGACTCAAATACCTAAGGTACTGAACTCCTTGTTTAAATCTGTATTCAACTACAAAAAATAAAGTAAGTTTTGATGGTTCAGAAATGAGGAAACCCTTGTAAAAATAACTGTTCACAAAGAACGGGGAGCCATAAGGGAACACTTGGAAAATCTGAATGTATAAAAGTCAGCCGGCATGTATGTACGTTATGCCTTGCAGGTCAGAGATTCTTAAATTGTGTTCTGTGGAGCACTGTGTGGTCTGCAGGGAGCTGGTTGATCACATGGTGCTAGATCCTTCCCCCTTATTTCCAACTGCTAAATGGTATTAAAAGACAGACAGAAATATATGTAGTTGCCTCAGAGATATTATGGGATTGTGAATTGGCAGGCTGCAGACAATCTGTGTATTTACTACACAGAAGAACAAAGTATATTCGCCTATCTTCATGTTGATAACTTGCCTGTCAAAAAATTACTAACCCCAGGCAAGTGAGTAACTTTCTGCATGGTTGAACTAATACATCTGGATAAACAGATATTCAGAAGGAGAAATTTAGTGGTGATAGTGACAGCAAGTCAGACATAGTCTGTAATGTCAAATGAGAGCAACAAAGGCCAATGCAGTTTTAGGCTGCATACATAAAGGAACAACAGCCCAGGAAATGAAAGGTCTGTATGACTCCAGTGTAGCACACCCAGAATATAATGTTCAATTCTGAGCATTTTATTTACAGGAAAATATGGACAAATGGAGAGTGTTCAGAGATGTTAGGATGCATATGGTACATTGCCAGCCATCAGAATGTTCCCTAAATCTGCCCCTTTTTGAAAATAAGACAGCACAGTTCTTGATTGTGCTCTTTTATTGCTTCCAAATGATTTAAACAATTGCTGGATCCAACTGGATAATACTGCTAGGTCACATACGTCATATGTCTGCTCAGTCGTAGGTGCATGCTGCCTCCTCACTGAAAGGGAACATCCCGAGCTCTCGAGGGGATGACAACCCAAAAAGGATTTTATTTCTTTATGAAGCATTAGCTATGTGTTACCATTAACATGTCTACATCTTGTAGTTTAGAAGGTACCTTTATGGCTTGATGTCTCCTTGTTTTTCAGCATACACAGCAGCTAGTGATCTTTATTTTCACATTACAGAATTCAAATATTTTCTCTTTACTTGTAGTTCTCTTATTATGAGGCACATACATTGGCTTTTTTCTCATGCTGCTAGTGGCAAAGTTGACATTCATGTCATTTAGTCATAGCACTGAAATGATGTCATGCTTGTGTAATATATTGTACTCAACTTCATGATATGCAGCCACCACCAATGCACTGTGGAAGAAAACTTAATTTTATAAGCAGCTTTTAAGGACACTCTTGACCATGTAACAAATCAAATCATACAAATACTGAGTTTATTACCTTGGATCCAACCCATCCACAGAGTAGCTGGTTCTTTCTTAAGCAGGAGGAAACCTTCAGCGTCCAAGATGGCTTATCACTGGTTCTACAAATATGCAGCATAGAGTCCTGAGACATAACCTTCCCATTTGCATCCCAGTGAGCTGAATCCTGTCTGTACTCAGGCAAAATTCCCCTTAATTTATAGTGCTTAACTTGAGGAGTTCAGTATAACTGCTTAGATAGGTTACTGTAGATAGAAGAAATTTAGGACTTGGCTCAGTAAATTTGATCTAACTCAATTTATGAAATGAAAGCTGTATGTTTTTAAAATTCACTTTATAATCTTCGCAATTCCAGAGTCTTCCGACAGGACCATTTTGGAGTCTGAAGTCCCTCTTACAGTGACAAATGTGTTTTCCTGATCGTGATGACATTTTGTGGCTGTTCAGAATGGTTGGGTTTTTTCCCCCACCATTGAAATAGGGTGGCTAGCCCCAAGCATAATTTGTTTTCTTTCTCAACTGGGCTTATTCCTTTTATGAAGAAAGAGACTGATTTCTTTTATTTTTCTAACTAGTTAATTACTTAAAATTCGCATCAGATTACTGCAGATATTTTTAGCAACATTGTTAATACTGCCAATTTAATTATTTGTGTTTATTTTACTATATAGAAAGCAGTCTGTTACACTGCAGATTTCCTTAGCAGAGCTATGTTGAACCGATGGAGTTTGGGGTCTCTTATCCTTTAAATTATTTTATTTGCCGATTCTTCATTTCCTATATGTATATCTTAAATCTCTATCAAACAGGTCTTTTAGAATGTTGTTATATGTACCTTCTACTGTCATTTTCATCTTTAGAGGCACATGACAAAGCTGCTAACATAAGTGCCCACGTAGTTTTCAAATAAGCTTTTGATTTTTTTTTTCCCCAGACAAATCTTTACATGTTCAACTGCAGCTGTATCACTTCAAAAGAGAGAAAGCTGGTTGCATCGAACTTCTTTCTGGTGGTTGTTACAAAAGGTTACAGAAGAATTGTCAAGCAGCAATATGAGCTCATCGGTACTGTACTTGCTTACGTGGTCACGAATATCTGTCTCTTATAATACTCTTTTGTTGGAGCTTTAACAAGTGGGAACCTTCCGTTTCTGCTGCTCTGAGCTCACATAGAGTAGCAAAAGTGATCAGACATTCTTCATGTCAGTTTGAACATCCTTTTCAAAGATGAGTTCATCCAGCAGAAAGTGAAAAAGAGATTTAAGCTATGTAAGAACACAAACAGTTTGTGTTGTCTGTATAATGATGAGAAAAATAAGGCTGCAATATTGGTCAGGTCTACACTATTCTGTATTAAGAAGCTTCTCTAGTAAAAATATATTTCACTATAGTTTTTTAATTTTTAATACAAAGACATTCATTCTGCATACTATAGGATTTGACATTCTGGATGAGACATCTGACTTATAAACAGTTTGTGCCAATACAACCTAAAGGCTGATTCAGCATGGTACTTAATCTGTACATAACTTTGAGCATGTGAGTAGTCCCGCTGTCCCATCAATGTCATTGGGACTATTGTCTCACGCTTAAGTTCCCTGCTAAATCAAGGTCAAGGACACTTACACTGTTACATTATGCTCTTGATGGTACTGAAGCATCCATGTTTTTTAATCACTATATTTGTACTAGTAACTCCACATGATGCATGGGATTTTTTTTTCTTAAATTAAGTTTCACTGTAGCTTCCATCCAAGGATTGTTAATATGTGATCCATGAACCCGAGTCTCTTTAATCAACCTGATAGATTTGTTTGGGACTGGGAGGAGAAACAACCCATTAAAGGGACAGTGTCATTCAGAAGAGTTGTCTTTCCTCCGTACTCTGTACCTTTCTGTGTATATTTGTTAACACAATAAAATTTAAACTGTTTGGTTTTTTAGAATTATCTAGAACAATCTAGACACAGTAAAGTTGGGAAATGAGTTGCATTTCATATCCATGCACAGTGTCCCTTAATTAAGGTTCTGAAATTCTAACCAGGTGGAGTTTTGAGTCTGCTAGTCCAAAAGAAGCCAATAAGCTCTCAGTCACTAATCTTGCAATTATTGATCTCTGATAAAAGGGAAAGTAATGCACCAGTGTCTCATTTTTCACTGTATTTGGGAAAGTTAGGATTTGAAGTAGAAGATGCTCATAATATCATATGCTTTAGATTTATTAATGTCTGGAAGAACAGAATTTAAAGCAGAAGCATAAATTTTAAGGCTACTTGGAGCCCTACCCTCTTTAATCCTGTCTGCCAAATAGCCTATTACTAGTAGTTTAGGGTTGATAGAAGATCTTTTATCTCTGTTTCCTATCCATGGCATAAAGCTGCTTTAAATTCTGTTGTAAGATATATTCGTGGAAACTTTCCAGAGAGATAATAGAAAACTTAATAGCTTCCCTCTGTAAACCTGCCTCCTCAAGGAATTTCTTGATAGAAGACATATGAGATATGATCTCCACTGAGTTCCTTACAGCTGAGTCATCAGCCTGATGTGATATGTTACTAGCTCTCAAGCCTTCCCAATGTTCTTGCATAGTCCATTAGTATTCTTATTAGTGCCTGAAACCAAGATCTGGATCTCCAGATAAATTTTAAAAGGGACGACTAATATCCAATTCACCATAACTTCCACTAAAATCTTCACTACTGCATTTTGCAGCAGAGGGAATAAAGGAAAGTAATTAGTCCCCATATATGCACTTTTTTGCAAAGGCACCTGTTACTGAGTCTTCCCTACAAGGGAACTTGCAAATAAATGTCTCCAATCTCCTGTTTTCTGATTGTTCTGGAAGTCCCCCATAGAGCTATATATCTATGGAAAACTGTCTTCCTCCTGAAGACTTTCCTTTTCAAAAGGGCATTCCCCATCATCTTTCCTTTGCTTGGAATGTGAAGATTTGCAAGAGAAGCTGCTAGAATCTAGCATAATTTCAGAATTATTAGTAGAGCCATCTGTCTAATATTGCCCTCTACAATCTGTTCCCTGGCTAAGAAACTACCAATTTGCTGCCTTAGAACTTGTGCATGATCTCTTGTGGGACATCTAGAAGAAGGAGAACATTTCAAATGGTCTGGATTAATCTGTTGATTTTTGAGAAAAGTCCCCCAATTCCCTTTCCATGTGTCATAAATATAAAGGGAAGGGTAAAGCCCTTTAAAATCCCTCCTGGCCAGAGGAAAAATCCTCTCACTTGTAAAGGGTTAAGAAGCTAAAGGTAACCTTGCTGGCACCTGACCAAAATGACCAATGAGGAGACAAGATACTTTCAAAAGCTGGGAGGAGGGAGAAAAACAAAGGGTCTGTGTCTCTTGGTATGCTGCTTTTGCCGGGGATAGAACAGGAATGGAGTCTTAGAACTTTTAGTAAGTAATCTAGCTAGGTATGTGTTAGATTATGATTTCTTTAAATGGCTGAGAAAAGAATTGTGCTGAATAGAATGACGATTTCTGTCTGTGTGTCTTTTTTGTAACTTAAGGTTTTGCCTAGAGGGATTCTCTATGTTTTGAATCTAATTACCCTGCAAGGTATCTACCATCCTGATTTTACAGAGGTGATTTCTTTACTTCTATTTACTTCTATTTCTATTAAAAGTCTTCTTGTAAAAAACTGAATGCTTTTTCATTGTTCTCAGATCCAAGGGTTTGGGTCTGTGGTCACCTATGCAAATTGGTGAGGATTTTTACCAAACCTTTCCCAGGAAGTGGGGTGCAAGGGTTGGGAGGATTTTGGGGGGAAAGATGTGTCCAAACTACGTTTCCCAGTAAACCCAGTTAGAGTTTGGTGGTGGCAGTGGTTTATTCCAAGGAAAAAGGATAAAATTAATTTGTACCTTGGGGAAGTTTTAACCTAAGCTGGTAAAAGTAAGTTTAGGAGGTTTTCATGCAGGTCCCCACATCTGTACCCTAGAGTTCAGAGTCAGGGAGGAACCTTGACACCATGTTTGATTGGATGGGCAACCCACTTTCCTTTGGAAGCCTTTTGCTCCATAATCATAGGAGGTACAGTAGAAAGGAGAGAGTGCTTGGCAGATATCTGGCACAGATTCAACACCTCTGTCTCATCCATTCATTTCTCTTCTCAGTTGCTCAGGGAATAACAAATTATTGTGTTGTGCTTAATACTTAATTCCTAATTTTAAAGTGGGTTAGGAAGGGAATAAGAAGGAGCAAGGGAAGTTAGAAGCCAAGAAAGGATGGGGTCAAGGGGCAAGTTGATAGGTTAAAATTGCCCCTTAAGAAAAGGAAAACTTAATTGTCAAAGACTGAGCTGAAATAGTCTTGGTCAGGTTGAGCAGGAGAGTGATGGTGCAAGAGTAAGGTGAACGTGACTGCATGTGGAAGGAAACAGCTCCTGCTTTCTCCGTGAAGTAACTGGTGAGAGGTGGGCAGAGTGGGAGGAAGGGCTTGTAAGAGACAGTGAGCCAGACTTACTCCACTAGCAAAATCCAGGCTGCTGCGTAACAGTAGAAAGTCAGCTATATTCCTTCCCCTGGTGGGAGAGCTAGAGCCAGTCAGTTCAACCAACAATAGAAGCGGAACCACACGGGAAGGGGGTTGGGCTACAGCACCAAGTAGATGCAATGATTTAGCTCAAATTTCAGGCTGCTTTTGTTGGTGAGGCTCCTGTGGAGCTCCAGTCAGTTTAAAGCTCCACTGAAGAATGCTTCTGCTGATGGAGCTTCCCCCACAGGTACAGGGAGCTTGCACACTCCCTGAGCCCATGCTGGTAAATAAACCCCATTGATGCCGTTCACTGGCAAGGAATTCCTGCAGTCAGAAGGCATGTTTATTGTAACCCCCCCTACCTATTCTGATTTGCACTTTGGGTTAGAATATTTACTCTTTTGTTCATGGTTAATCCCAAAGCTCATAACTGCATGATCACTTAGTGATAAACTTCAGAGTACCCATCAGTGGTGCAATGATTACATCATCACCAAAATGAATTCACAACTTGCAGCCCAGGACCTTAGCATCACATGGCTGATTTGAGACCAATTGCAAAGGTTCTTGGGGCTTATAAGTAGCCCAAAAGAATATCATCCTATTAAGTGGTGAATAAATTATTCCTGCCCAGAGAACTCTGATACCTTTTGACATCCTGATTGCATAAAAGGTATTTCCCCCCCAACCACCCACCCCAGAATCTCAGAACTCTGAGGTTGACCTTCCACACCTTTCATTATTTTCAAAGGTTAAACTGTACCAAATGCTTGATACAAAGCAATTAACACAAAGCAATTAATCTCTGATCTGGTTCATTTGAAAAGTGATAGAAAAAATATGCTTCCAGCTGTGTACACCTTCCCACAGGGCTGGCCTTACCATGAGGCGAACTGAGGCAGCTGTCTCAGGTGCCAGACAATGGGGGAGGGGGCGCCACTAGGACCCAGAGTGTAGAAAATTGTCTGCTCCTGGTGCATATGTATTCTCCCTGCTCTAGATGCACAGAGGTGGTGGAGTGCTGTGCTGGAGGAAGGAGGGCACAAGAGACATAACAGGCAGGCAGGAGAAATGGTGAGAGGGAATAACAGAAAGCAGCAGGAGCTCTGGGGAGAGAGAGGAGGAAGAGCCTCTTATGTACCTCTCTAGCACCCCCAAGAGCCTGGACTGATTAACACCAGCTTCTCAGGGAGCTTCCTGTTTCCTACTGCTTCGCTGAACCCACTTGAGGAGAGCAGGCAGTCAACTGAAGTAGTAGGAGCCAGTTAGGCCCTTAAGACTCTGATATCTTCCCTCACTCAGGCCCTGCTACCAGCCTGCTTATTTGTCCCCTTGGGGGAACAAACGTTCCAGTGGAGAACGCAGCTTCTCCAAGCTGAAGTTAATAAAAACACAATGACACAGGAGAAGCTGGTCGGCCTTGCAACCATCTCAGTAGAGCATGAGCTGGCCCAGACTTGGACCTTGAGGAAGCAGTTCAAATCTTTGCAACCAAGAAAGCATAGAAAGCACCACTTTGATTATTCAAACAGATAAAAATGCCAGTGTTTACTATGCAGACAAGAAAAGTTACATTTGCTGTTCAGGCGTTTGAAAGTTAAGTGTTACTTAACATTTCTGAATAAGGCACTTTAAGTTAGTTCTCCTTTATTTGGGTAGGTAGCAGAGCAGTACCATGAGAGGAGTAGAATAGGAAGAAGGAACAGAATTGAGACCTTTAAAAGTTCTGGCCCAAGCGAGTGGGCATGGGGGCGTCATTTGAGCTCCCCGCCTCAGGTGTGAAAATGTTGTGAGCCGGCCCTGCCTTCCCACAGTTTCACCACATCTTCTCACAACACAAGTTATCTTTTTCTTCTCTAAAATTGTGCCTTCTGAGTTATTGTTAGCATAAATACTTCAAATGCCCCTTTCTTTCATTGGCTCTGTTAAAAATAGAAACCATGGCCTATCAGTTTTACTTTGTATCTTTTTCATCTTAATGTAACCCTTTTAAGGTAATCTATGCCATGTAATTTTTAGTGAAGTTTTTCTGTAGCCAGCAACCACCTCCATAGCTTTAATCGTTCCCCACCAAAGCTTCTTTCAGGCCAAGCCCTTTTTAATTATCACTGTGACCACATCTATTCTTAGTAAAGATCCTTGCAGAGATGCAGTTTACTCCGCTGTGGCAGCAATCCACTTGCCAATTTACAGCTCCACCCACTAAAGTACCCCTTTGAATTATAAACTACTAAAGTAAACATGTATTTTTAACAACCTCATGTATTTTTAACAGTCATGCCTGGTTATCAAAACTGAAAACATTTTGAAGTACAAAAATGGTAGGTTGGCATTGCAGATTATTCTCAGAATACAGGGTGTTCTTCCAGGTTAGGTCTTTTTCCTCTAAGAAAATCAATATACAGTATATTGTAAAACATGAGCTATACGTTACTTACATTTAATTATTTTCTTCAGGTTAAAGCCCAATTTTCAATAATCTTAAAAGAAATCCCAAATTTTTCTACCTTTTCTATAATGGTCCTAATGCATGAATATACTTTTTTTTTTGGTTTTCTTAATTTATAATGTGATGTACTGCACTGTACTTTTTATGACTAGCATAAAACATAACAGAACGCAGAGCAGTTGAAATGCTTTCACTGAGCTTCTTCCCCTTTCTTCATCTCTTTCTCTCTCTCTCTTTTTATGAAGTTAACTTTTGTATAGTAGAAGAGGCCACATTTAACTCAAGCCCAATTTGGCTGTAGCAAATTTGGGCCTCAAACTTGTAATCACTTATATATGTGCTTAACTTTAAGCACACAAGTTGTTCCACTGACAAGTCCAGGGCAAATACTGTATATTTTCTTGCAGATTCATTCACACAGATTATTTTTCAGATAAATTACTATCTGAATATGATCATTATATTCTGTAGCATTCCATTAAAGTGATCTGAGCCACTGTAAATAGCAGTTATATTTTTCTTTGTTTTTAGTTATAGGGCTCTGCAATTGTTTCAAAATCAAATATCAAAAATATGTCATAATTACTTAAATAAAATATCAGATTATTTTATCCCCTTTGTGTTAACCATAATCCTAGTGTGTGGAGTACTACCAAGCAGTACCGGTAACAATATTAACATTTATGTTGACATGATTAGATTTCAGAGTTGACTGTTCTGTGACAGAGGTTTGAACCTCTGTCTATAATTTATAGGTTATGGAAAAAAATTAAACAAAATTGCTTGGAAAGTTTGTCATAGGATTTGATCAAAAATGGCAATTGCCAATGAAAGTAAAATCTGAGCAAGTTATAAACCTTTGAAAGGCAGCCATTAATCATAGTTAAGGATTTTCTTTTCCTCAGTAGACCATCTTCTACAAAGTGAAGAATGAAGCTGTTTTACCAGACGTTATGGTGTGCATAGGTAACTGGAGAAAACTGGTTAGGAAAAAGGAGGAGTAGCCCTGGATCAGGTTGTGCTTGATTAGGAAGTCTTGAGGATAGCAGACAAAAGTGTTTCTGTAGACACCAGTACGATGCCAACAGATGGGCAAAAGAGTTCTGAAGGAGGATACTGCTTTCCAGGGATATAAGGCAATCACTTTTCTCTGTAACTAAGTTGAAGATACCTCATCTAGTTTAGTTCCATTTTCTATTTTTACTAAATCTTTTTATTTAGATTACTGTTGTAAGGGAAATTTCACAGTGCTGCCCAAAGAGAAAAGAACCCCGCAACTTCTAAGTGCAAGTGGTGAAGGATGAAGAGTCCCTGAAACCTAAATTCCCAACTCAAGCTTGTTCAAGGAGCATGGACAGAAGAGTCTGCTCCCAATAAGTTGTGTTATCATCAGGCTGTAGAGGAGAATGCAAGGAGAATGAAAGACCAGTGTGGAGATGAGAGCCGGCCATTATGTTGGTCACACAGTTGGTTCAGGATGTCTGCATACTCAAGCGGGCTACATTGCATTGGTTATTCAATTTTTATGTTTTGAGGGCTATCTTTGCAACAATAAGGGCTAAAAGCTTTTTTTTATTGATGAACATTTAGATTCTGGATTATAAGATGGCAAGCATGAAAATGTACTGGCTCACCAAGCTTCTGTGAGCTGTCAGAAGGCAATCCCCAAGCCAGAAAGG